TATATATATATACACACACTAATGTGTTAGAGCAATTTTGTAAGACTTCAAGTCGGCAAGACCCAAGACTACATTCAAGGCTCCTATTAACTGCTTTTAAGATATCTTTTAAGTTATACTAGTTTGAAATAAAAAAATATTTTTCTTTTGAAAGAAAAATTTTTTTATTTATTTTTTATAAAAAAAATATGTGTATATTCTAAGTACATATTAAAATTGTACTTGCAAATCCAGAAAAAAAAAGTAGCCGTGGAAAGGAAGAAAATTATAAGCTCAATCATTGGACACAGAGCTCTCACTCCATTGTGCCAAAAGGAGACAAAATGCCTCATTTGGCAGCAAAAGGACTCTCATCATTTCATCAAAGAGGGAAAGCTAAAAAAGGATTTTTGTTTCTTTTTTTGAAAAAAATTAAAAGGTAGTCTTGATTTTCTTCAGAAAAAAATTATTTACAGCTAAGATATCTAAAAGTATACGACAAGGTGCACTTTGCTGCAGTCAAAATGTACATTCTCTAGACTGCTAAAGTGGGTTCAGTGTTATGACTTAAAAAAAATTAAATTTAGATATTGAATGCATATATAAAAAATTGTAAATATTATATCTGTTAGCATGAATGTTCCTGCTAGGTATTGTACAATTTCATAATATATTTTGAATATTCAGAAATATATTTTTTCTTATTGAACCCACTAATGTACTATTCTTCAAAGTAGACTTAACTAGAGTCAAACATTTGTGTTTTGTAGAAGTTTCATTTCTTTTTCTTTATTGTTTGTCATTCTGAAATTTCTAATTTATAATTGTTTTTATAGTTTCTATATCTCCTTATTAATTTGAAATAGTTCTATCTTTTATGATTGGTAAATTTGTTTTTACACATAATTGTATTAGAAGGGATAATTTTTATTGACGTTAAAGCTTATTCATCGATCTGATTTTCATAATGCTAACACAAGTGACTTTTCCGCACCAAGAAAACTACACTGACTAAAATTAAAATTGTTTGCGAAAAATCACGTATCTTTGATAACATTTTGAAGTCAATGGGGGTAGCCCGTAAGGACGACCATTTTACAGTGGAACAGAGAGTGGTTGCTGCCGAGAGCTTTCACTGTATATTCATCTATGCATGTTAACAAAGTTTATTAATTGCTTAACTTCTCTCAAAGATTCATAATCAACAGAACATTTTACTCTCTTAAATGTTTGCTGCAGAACTTAATTAAATATTCTACAAAGGAAACAGGTTATAAAATTTCAAGAGACCACTGAATACAACCATTGATACAAGAAAAATAATACAGCAGTATTATTTTTTCTTCTTTTTTACAGCCTTTTATTTATTTATTTTTTGGGTACACATTTCAAATTACTCCTTATTTTTTTTTCTAGTATGTGTTTTCAATATAGAGACTAAATATTTTTTTACATGCATAGAAACTTAATATTTTATTTGCTAATGAATTCATGGCCGCTTTAGAGGAACACTAGTATATTTTTACTTAGCGTAAGCATACAGTTTTTGTGTTGAAAAAACGATTATTTATGAAACTTAGTTGTAAAACAAGGTTTTTGTAGTCATTATCATAATTAGTATTAATTTATCAATTTACTTAAAAAGTTCTATAATATTTTGACCATTTATTTTAACTGTTTTGCCTTATAAAAAAGTTAGAAAAATTTTTATAACTTATTTTTTTTATGTGTAGGTCATATATCGAGCTAAATTCAGTGCAATTACTGATAAAGATATTAAGGCTGCAATGCGGCAACTAATCGAACCTGATGAAAATCAGTCTCTCTCTGTGGATGCTCGTCAGGAGTTGGACCTGCGCATTGGTTGTGCTTTCACAAGATTTCAAACTAAGTTCTTCCAAGTAATATTTGTTTTTCAATCTTTTAAAAATCAGGCTTGTGTTATAAGCTATTTAAAAAAAAACTATGAAGATATATATTAAATTGCATCAAATTTTAGAATTATGGAAATCTTCTAGTGCTTTATTTCTCTTGAATATTGAAAAATTAAGTTATTCTTTCTATAAATTTACTTTCAATTTCATTGTGAGGGTTAAATCTTAATATGAAAGATTAAATAGATATAAATTAAACCAAAATATCTCAAATTCTTTGATAAGAAGAATTTTAGAAAACTGGCATAATTATCTTTGTTTAGAGCAGTGCTGTCGAGCCTGAGCCTTCTCATTACGTTTCCTCCAGCTTGATCTGTTTGATGCTGATGTGCACTTACTGTTGATACCAATGTTCTTTAAATACTTTTTTACATTGTCCAGCCTTTCATTCACATTCCCTCTGGTTTTGAAATGTTTCTTTTTTTCCCATTTCATTTTAATATGTGACTGAGCATTCTTGGGTATGATATTTTAAATGCTTTTATTTTATTTGGTTTCCTAAATTTTGTTATAAGTAGTTTACTATATCTTATTCTTTACATTTATATGCATTAAAAATGTTTTCTACTATGTCTTTTGTTGTCAGATTTTCAATATTGTTTGGTATAAAATCTGTTGCAATTTGAGATTGATTTTTTTAAAAAAATAATCTAAGCTTATATTTTTATTGGTTTTAGAATAAGTATGGTAATCTTGACAGTGCCTTGATTTCTTTTGGACCTTGTCAAACTCCGACTTTAGGTTTTTGTGTCGAGCGTCATGATAGGATAGCTTCTTTCAAACCTGAAACATTTTATGTGCTATCTGTAAAGGTAACCATCTTGATGTAATTTATGTAGTTTTATTTTTTTGCTGCTTCAAGATTCACATAATTTATGTCCTTTTACTTTTACAGGTGTTAACTAACAATGATAAAGTTTTATCTTTGGACTGGGATCGAATCAGAATATTTGACAATGAAGTGGCAAATGTGTTTTATGGAATTATTAAGCAGAAGACTGAAGCCATGTTAGTAAAACCAATATTTATTTTTTACTATTTGCTAGTGACAAAATTTTTCTTTCACAATTTTAGATTATATATAATAGATTATATAGATATAATAGCTTATATATAATAATATACATATATTTGTATATTATTATAAAAATAAATATTATAAAATATAAATTATATATATAATCTATATATATAAAAGGAATATCTGTGTGTGTGTCCTTTATAGATTCCTAAAACATCCGACCGAAAGCTATGAAACTTAGCATGCAGATAGTTCAAAGAACGAGGGAGGTCACTGTCCACATTAGAACGTTCTACAACTAAATGATCGATCGAGATGAGCGAAAAACGAAATGGAATTTTCTGATTGGCTAAGCGTTAGCTATTGTTTTAAATTTAACGATTCAATTTTTCACATATTTTAAAGATAGCATCAGTGATATTTGCGAGCTTATAGCTCTATTTGATCAAAAAAATTTTATTGCATGCATTTAAATATTTAATTATTTTATATTCGCTATGTCAGATAAATTCAATGAACATTATGTGGTAGCATGCGTGGTCTGCATCACCAAATTTATACTTTGTCTGATACCACGAGCTTTTATTTTATTTATATAATTTCTTTTAAACTTGTTTATAAAAAAATTACTTATTTGAAACCTTTTATTACTTTTACTTTAACTACTTTTTGATTATTAAAAATTGCTTATTTGTAATGGAATAGAAAAAAAAATTTCTATATTCAAAAGCAAAATTAATAGGAAAGTGTTACTAATTAATTTCAGAGAAACATAAGAAAAGGCGCCAATGAGGCTTAATTATGCCAATCATGCTTGATAAACTAAGGTAATATAATAATAATAAGCTACGTACTGGAAAGCAAAAGAAGTGGAATAAAGGTATTTGTCCAGAAGAATTGTAAGAAATTGTCATACCATCATTGATGACAATGATGTTTAGTTAATGTTGGTAATATGAATTAATTTAAATTAAAATAGTAATTTCTGAACTAAAAAGCAAAAATAAGTTTTAAAAAATTTAATCGCTTTTTTGGATAACCGTAAAAATCTACATATTATTATTGACACTAATGCTCAATTACTATTGATAATGTGTATTAATTGAAATAAAATAAAATAAGCTATGTGCTAAAAAGCCAAGCTCATGAAGAAAAGATTAATGGAAAATTAGTTTAAGAAAACCTTAAAAAATTGCCATTCATAGTTGACGCTTAATTCATATGTATCCCTGATGGTGATATGTACTACTGGTATTATGGTAATTGGTGAATTGGTTCTGATGAGAATTCTACTACTGGTTTCTGTTTCAGAAAATATTTTTTCTAGTGGTTGCTAAGATAGTGTATTAATATTTTAATGAATTAGAATTAAATAAAAACTTTTTTTCACCACTACTTATAAATATTTTAACAGGAAATTAAAGGTTAGACAAAGTAATGGTCATGCTCCAAAATCCTTATGAAGTTCTAATATTTTTTCAAAATTCTGCTTCAGCTGACTGCCATTGACAAATATGTATAAACTCAAATATTGTAGGATTATGTAATAAGTACCAAATAGACTAATATAGGTGTAAAATATTATATTGATATATGTTTGGCAATTATTAAAACTGCACCAATACTATGCAGTTTTAATACCAATGTTTTGGAATTAAGTGTTTTACGGTCCCTTGAAAGAGAGTTTATGGTACTTGAGAAAATCACTTAATGGTGGTAAATTTTAACTATTATAAATTGGCTGCGAGCAATGGCATCACTCCAAGTGATGGTAAATGCGTTTTATCTTTATTGCAATGGTATGAATTACAAACAATGAGCTTTAATTACTTCAATACTTAAAGCCACCAAAGATTACAACATATAATATGAATTTAAAAAAAATTGAAATTATTTTATCTATGTTAATTGAAAAATTTATGTAGAAGAACCAGGTAAGTGATATTACAGAGCGAAATAATAATAAATTTTATCCTAATTATTTAATTGCCAATTTATTAGAAGGTTAGACTAATAATTCCTTGCTTTATTTTATTTACCATTGTCTAATTTGAAATAGAAGTCAGACTAAAAACTAATATAGATTAGTTATATAAAGATAAAAGTGAAAGTAAAAACAGTTCTGTTACATTAAACATACCCATATTGATGCAACCACTTTATGTTAAAAATGTCATTCACCTGGTTCTTCCATCTTTAATTGTGTTGGTATATGCCTATCCGTTTTGAGTATGATTGCATTGTGTTTCTCAGTTCTAATTTATTAATTATTTATTTTTTTTATTCACCCTGTGCGAGAAAAGGGTATTCAGCTAATATATATATATATATTACAATTATAATACTATTATATAAATATTTATGCCAGGATAGTCTGGTTTTTAAGGCATTGGGCCCATGTCCAAGAGGTTGTGGACTCGATCCATGTTGGCCTGACTGGTGCACGTGAAATCTGTCAGATCACGCAGTCCTCCATGTTCCCATTACAAATTAAATTTCTGGTGGTACTGAATTGAAGATGATCGTCCTCTGGTTCAAGTCAAAATTGCGATCTGTGGATGTATGAATGGGTCCGCCCTATAGAATGGGTTGTGAGGCGTGTGTGGCTGAAGTCGTATTCTTAGCCATAAATGGTGCCACTGAAGAACAAGAAACTCATCCTCTGCCTTAAAATTCACTTGGTTTTACCAAGCAGGCTTGGTGATTTGGGCAAGTGGCATTAGAAACATCGCATCAACTATTTATAAGGTGATCCAACAATATCATACAGTAAAATATTTATAAACTGCAATACACAATCTCTAAAGCAAATCAAAATCGATAAACTTGTTGGATTTTATTACTAATGCTCTGAATTATTTCAATTTTTTCCATAAATAATAACTTAGTAAATATTTTTGTGCGTAAAAGCTTTTCTATTTAAAAATTATAGTATTGATACTGATCCGTTCTACAGATACATTGTTATGTTTAATAGGTAAGTGTAATGGTACATGAAATGATGTGTATGACACAAATTTATATAATGCAATGCCTTATGTTTAATGATTTGTGTTATAAAGATCTGTGTTTTTATTTTTAGCATAACTATATTAATTTATTCATTTTGAATTATGATGTTTGTTATATCTGATGTTATTATTGTTCTAGAGTTCTGAATATTTCTCAAAAAGAAAAAGCGAAACAAAAGCCACTGGCTTTAAATACTGTTGAATTAATGAGAGTGGCCAGTTCCGGTCTCAATATGGGTCCCCATCATGCAATGATGATAGCTGAAAAACTGTATACACAAGGCTACATTAGTTATCCTAGAACAGAAACTACCAATTACCCTGAAAATTTCGATCTAAGGTATGTGTGAAAAACTAACTAAAATTTTTCTATGAGACAATGATTTGATTTTATAACCAGTGTTGAACAGCTGACTGATTTTTGGGTTTGCTACAGTCAATGCTTAACATATAACTCTTTAGTCTTGTAATTTTGAACCCAACCTAGAAGGCAGGGAACTCCTGGATCAGCTATAAGAGGAAACTAGCCTTCAGAGAGGGTTTGTATGATGGAACGAAACCACATTTGCATTACATATTGAAGAAAACATCTCATGGTTAGCCCAATGTTAAGGGGATTTTAATTAATGGTCCATCTACCTCTGAGCATATTTTATGTGATCTGTGCAAGCCGGTAGTGATATTCATATCGATCAGTGATCGATAGGATTCGAACCTGGGTTATCTTACCAAGAGACCAGTGCTCTATCCTTTGAGCTACCACAGCTTATCTGATAATAATTTTGACATTCCTCTTTAAACTTCCGATAAGTGGATTTGCAACACAGGCATCTATCTGCATGTAGATCAATTCATTATTTTTGGCTTTCATCTATTATATGTAACAAAATACACTCTATAACAAAAAAATCGACACACCAAGAAGGAGTTGTCCGATTAAAACGAGAATTGGTGGATAGGAAGACAATGTACAGAATAGTAAATGATTAAAATTTCAGAACAATTGAATAATTTATTGCAGAGTTACAGTAACAAGTTCAATAAGGTGTTGACCCGCCTCTAGCCTGGATACAAGCTGCCACATGGCGTGGCATGGACCGATAAAGCTCCAGGATGGTCTCTTGAGGTATTTCCTGCCAAATTCGATCCAGTTGTGGAACGAGGTCATCAACATTCCGTGATAGATGCAATCGCCTTCCCATCATATCCCAGACATGCTCGATGGGAGAGAGATCTGGTGATCTGGCAGGCCAAGGAAGAGTTTGACAAGCTTGCAGACAGTTCATAGGAACACGTACCGTATGTGGTCTGGCATTGTCCTGCTGAAAAACCAGCTCAGGGAGCTGCAAAAGGAACGGTAGCAAAACAGGTCTTAGGATGTCGTCGACGTACAGCTGTGCAGTAAGTGTACCTCTAATAACGGCCAAAGGGTTCCTGCTGTCAAGGGAAATGGCACCCCAGACCATAATGCCTTGTTGATGGCCGGTGTGGCGTACAATGGTGAAGGCAGGATCCCCCCTCTGCCCTGTGCGTCTCCAATCACGTCTTTGATGATCGTCAGGACACAGTTGGAAGTGGGATTCGTCGCTAAAGACTATACGTTCCCAGTCGGCATCATTCCAGCCATATCTGTTAAAAACATACACGCATACGAAATTTCAAAGCAATTGGATGATTGCTTCTTGGTGCGTCGATTTTTTTGTTATAGAGTGTATTTAAGAGAAAACCATACCGCCTATTAACCTTTTTTTTATTCTACAAAAGCTGTTTCATATCTTTTGTTTCCAACGAGTGCTATGCACGATCATGCGTGTGTATTGCAATTGTTGAATAGTTATTTGTTTTGCATTGTATCAATGTATATACATATCAAATTTCATTATAATCGGTCTTATATTGAAAATATAATTTACTTATGTTGAACCATGTAATCTTATCTACTTATGTTGAACCATCGTATATCTGTCCGAATTCCTACATTGGAGTGATGGTACTTATGCTGGATACCACCAAAAATATAATGGCTCATGATGGAATTATTGATGATTACCATCAATATTATGTTTGTACATCAATGGAAAACCATCAAAAATTTTAACTTGGGTGGCTTTGTCTCAAGTGCAGGGCGCTAAAAATGTGGCATTCTTATTTTCCTTGGTTAAGGATGTTTGAAAAACTCTACTAATTGTGTTCATTACCTAAGCAGTTACNCAAAAGAAACGGTAGCAAAACAGGTCTTAGGATGTCGTCGACGTACCGCTGTGCAGTAAGTGTACCTCTAATGACGACCAAAGGGTTCCGACTGTCAAAGGAAATGGCATCCCAGACCATAATGTCTTGTTGAGGGCCGGTGTGGCGTGCAATAGTGAAGGCAGGATCCGCCCTGTGCGTCTCCAATCACGTCTTTGATGATCGTCAGGACACAGTTGGAAGCGTGATTCGTAGCTAAAGACTATACGTTCCCAGTCGGCATCATTCCAGCCATATCTGTTAAGAACATACATGCATACGAAATTTCAAAACAATCGGATGATTGCTTCTTGGTGCGTCGATTTTTTTGTTATAGAGTGTATGATTGAAGATTTAATTGTTGATCCTGAACTCAATTCAAAATACTATCTGTTTGCTTTCATGCTTAAAAAACCACTTTTCCTACTTGTTTTTGAATTGGGATACTGATAATTTTTTTAAATTAACTTCATCATTAAAAAATTAGAAGAATGGATGATGCAATATAAATAATTGTAAATTTTTATTTACATTCTCATATTGAAATATAAAAATGCAGTCATTTCAAATTTTCCGAGTAAAATGCCTCATACTTAACAGTTGTTTTTCAATCTGTTTTCTTCTTTTCGTAGAAAACCAGTTTTCCTACATTTTTTTTATAAGGATGCTCCTTATTTTTCTCATTAATATTATTTAAAATTTTAGTAATGTTGCTGAATGAATTTTTATGATATTTTCTTACATTGATTTGATATCATTTATAACAAACTTCATGCAAATTGTCACATACACAACATAGATAATTCTTATTAGTTTATGTCACAGTTTTAAAAAATGGTTTTAAAATGTATTAATAAAATGTATATTTCTTTACCTAACTACTAAATTTATTTATTGAAAAGTTTTCAAAATTCAGAAAAAATCCAAAGTTATATCAGCATTTATAAAATAATTTTTTAAGGATGTTCAGTGCTTAACAAATTTAATATTTTTCTTTTAGTTATTGGGTCTGTTTAAAAAGGTTGAGAATAGTGTAATTAGGAATACAGAAGAACATATAAAAATTAGTAAAATTATCTTATTTTTAATTGAAAGAGAAACATGTTTTAAATTAGGTTGTTCCCCATGTTAATAAAAAAAAAATTTAAAAAAAAACCAAAAGGAAAAAAAAAAAGCTATAAAATTCTTTAGGAACCATGTAATTATTGCAAACAGTTATCTCTCAATTTTTTTTTAATTTAATTTTTTTTAATGTTTATTTATTTGACTACACAAACAATTCGTCTCCCTAATTTGCGTATTTGAACTTAGAAATTTCCCCCCTGTTATTTTGTATACCAGCAATAACTCTACCTCTCTTAAGTAACTTCTACGTGTTTCTGCTAGAACCATTTTTCAAAACGCATCACATGATTTAAGTTATTTTCATACTTGTTTAAACTCATAAATATGCATGTAGTGTGCTTTAATTTGACTTATTTCATTATTTAATATAAAAATGTCAAAGTTGATAAAGTGGATTTGTGAATTTTACTATAATATTTCTCCTCAGTGGTGTATGGAGATCTTTTCATTGTTTTTTTAATTAACCATAAATAATTTATAATTAATTTGCTATATATTTTTTTTATCTAAGGGGAACACTGCAGATTCAGAGTAAAAGCTCAGATTGGGGAAATGATGTCAAAGATCTGTTATCTGGTACCATGACTAGACCCAGGTATGCATTTTTACAAAAATTTTTTTTTACAGCAAACAAGAATTAAAATTTATTTTTTTAGGGAGCTGAAACGCTCCAGATTGGTGTTTTTCCCATATTCCATCCCCATTTTCCCATATTCTCTTTATTTTCCCATATTCCAAGGTTCCAGGAATTTTAGTGTATCCTACAGAAATTCAAGAGGTCTGCTGCATTGCAATGGAATTATCTGTTAGCCAAGCTTGCTGTAGAAAAACTAATCTCTACATAATTACATTTATAATGATTTAATATCAATTATGAAGGAACATTTGTTAGATTCAAAATTCTTTTCTAAACATTGTACAAATTACTTAACTGTAATTAAATTAAATTTGTATTTTTTTGTGTGAGCTGATGATTATTATTATTATTTTGTTTCTTTTTTATTAAAAAAATTTCAAATTAAAATCTGAAACTAAAAAGTGTACTTTATCTATTAATATTGTTGAAGCTTAGCCTACTATCTGGGAGTGGAGCTGTATTCGGAGCATTGAAAATTTTTCGGCTCGCTGTCCCTAATTTTGGCAATTATAATTTATTTTCAATTTTTTGCTTCTTAATTTGAAAAAATAGTCTTCTATAGCCAGTGACCACTTTTGGATGGGAAAGCAAATTCAATGAGCTGCATTTAAAGAAAGCAAGAAAGTAGAAAAAATTATTCTAAAAATAATATCGAACTTTTAAGTATTGTTTTAAGAATTTATTTAAATGGTAAGTCAAAGTTTTTTTGGAAGCATCTAAGGCTTTACATTTACACTGCAAAATTCCAATGCTTTTTAATCAAATTATTTTAAGTAAAACAACTTAGCATAAATATTGAATGAAACTTTCAGTTTCATTCAATTGGTTGGTATATTATTAATATTTATGCTAGGAGTAGAAGATCTCTTCATGTACTTCACTTCAAATGAAAGTTCGTTGAATTTATGAAAATTTTGTAGCCTGGAACAAAAACAGCGTTCATGTACACATCAAACTTTTGCTGAAAGTTAAATATAAAATTAAATAAATTACTATAAGTTATGTAGGTTTTTATAAACTGTTTACATTAGACTAATATCACATTCACCCTCTTTTCAGGGTATCCGCGCACCTGGAAAGTCGTGAAAAATCATAGAAAGTCATGAATTTCAGTATTGAACAAAATTTGTCATGAAATGTCATGATTTTAACTATTGTTTTAAAAAAAAAATCATGGAAAGTCGATTTAGGTTGCAAAAAAATCTAATTTTTAAAATAGAATTTTGCGGTGTTCCGAATATCTGAATTTGTATCAAAATCCTCACTCACAGTCATATTTTTTTAGAATGCAAAATGTTTTTATCCTGTTCTTTAAAAATTATGGTGTTCTTTAAAAAAAAATGAAAGAAAAAACATTATTTCTAGAGCGAATTATCTTTTAAATTTTTATCATTTACTTTTTTTATTTTATCAATTTAAAATTCCAGCTGAAGCAAGTCAGTCATTGGCAAATTTTTTTAAATTTCGAAATGAGAACAGAAAAATTAGTAGTATTTCTTTCCTTTCTGATGAACAAGAAAAGTGTATTTAGAATATAATTCTGCAGAAAAAAAATATTGGCTTTTGTATTTGTTTCCAGCTATTTTATTGCTTCAATTCTTTTTTACGCTGTTTTTTAAATTTGAAATCTATTAATATGAAAATGAAGAGTATAACAGTTTTGGTTGTGCCTATCATTTCAATCTATGTTATTATAATGCTTTTTTGAATTTTTTGTTGTGTTTTTGTCAAAGGAAATAGTAACTTCGTTAAGTCATGAAAAGTTCTTGGCATTAGTCATGGAAAGTCATAAAAAGTCATAAATTTGAAAATCTAAAATGTCACAGATACCCTGCTAATATCACATTCACGCTCTTTTCTTTAGCTAATCAAGGCAATTATATTGAAAAATACATTTTGAAAAATTTTTGACTTATGTGGGTTTTGTAAAAATCCTCTCGTATTTATTTTCTCGAGAAGCATTTAAAAGTTCTGTGTTGTTTCATTTGGAAAAAACTGAAAACCTGATGATTTTTGTGAAGGTTTGAGTGTATTTTTTTGTTTTAATCACAAACTTAAAAATTTATTCTTTGTTTTAAAATGTAAAAGACTATTGCTTTTATTTATCAGAAAAGGCAATGACGCTGGCGATCATCCTCCTATCACACCCATGAAATTGGCTTCGAGGAATGAACTTGATGGTGATTCTTGGAGAATATATGATTATGTTGCTCGACACTTCATTGCATCTGTTAGTTAAAGTTTTTTTTTTTTAATCATTATTTTAACTTTTATATTTAAAAGCTTTATTTTTAAATATTATGATATTAGACAAAGTAAAGAAATATTTATTAATTAATTTTCTCACTTCAGTTATTTAGTATGTAACCATTAGTTAATACTTTTTATTGTACTTTATTTGATTATATATATTTTTTTATTTCAAATAGTTAGACTTGTAGATGTAAATATAGAATTTTTTAAGCCATGTCTATTAGTTATTTTCACTGCCAAATTTTCTTCTGCAATGTGTTTTTATTACTTATATTTAATAATAAATCTAACTTTATTAAAGTAAGTAATAAGTTTTTTTTGCCTCATTTGCTATTCACATTTTATTTAATGTAGCTAACTTGATTTATACCTTTTAATATTAATGTTATAAATTTTTGACTTTTAAACTTTTTGCTTCATTTAATGTCAGCATTAAACACATTTAAATGACAGTATTTCTTATAAACAAAATATTTGTTATGATTTGTTTCAGAAAAAGTAAAGTTTCTAAATTTATGTTAACACTGGCATTCTTTATATTTAACTTGAAGTTTTCAAAATGATTTTAATGATTTAAACAGGATATAATTGAAGTAGTCTTGAAATTATTTTTGTCTTTGAGCTGCTATTAAATTTTCAAGATTACTTTTATTTTTTACATAAGTAATTTTCATAATTTCACTTTTAGAGTAGTAGTGTATTTAATGTTAGCATAACTTTAATTTGATAAGTGTAATATTTATTGATAAATAATAAAAATACTTGTTATTTGTAAAAACTGTCAGTTTATACCAATAGAATGCTCCATTATTTCCTGAAACATATGAAATAAAAACATTTTAAAATTATGATTATTTTTACTTTTGAGATGTAACCAAAAGATGTAAGTTATATGTTATTCTTGTAACCAATATGAAATATATTTTTTCTATAGATTTGTCCAGATATGAAATACCTTCACACCGTTGTTTCCTTAAAAATAGGGGAAGAAACCTTCACTTGCTCTGGAAAAAGTCTTATAGATCCTGGTTATACTAAATTTATGTCATGGCAAGCCCTTGGTGCAGATGAAACTTTACCAGATTTGAAAAAGGGTGATATCTTAAAAGTATCTGAGGTAATGTTACGTTTTTAAATGTAAATGCTGCCATTAAAGTTCAAAAGCCATTAATATACATATTACCTAATTTGAAGATTAACTTGGGTAATCTGTTAAAGTGTGGAATAAAGAGTTTTCTGCAATTTACCTAATTAATGTGTATTATAACAGTTTCTGCATTGTTAAAGTTCAGAAGTTTGTTTCTTTCATTCTTACCACTAGCTTGTTGGTTGTTTGATTACATTTATTGACTTAATTCTTTAGATATTGAAAAATAGATAAATTACATAAATAAATAACATTACATTAATATAAGTGTACAAAAATTTTACTGTTGTTCCTGTAAAACTTTTATTTTCACTTCAATAATTATCTAGTAGGTAATGCGCAGATTTTCTAGGAAGTTTACCGATTTCCTAGATAATTTAAGAAAAGAAACAATTTTTTAGCACTTAAATAGTTAATTTGCAAGTTTACTAGATATTTCGTTCAATAAGCAATTTCCACTCTTCAGCAGTAATATACGGACATTTTATTGGTCATCTTGTTTAAATTTAGTTATTCCGATAAATTCAAATTGTTTTAAATAACCTCCTATTGAAAATTTCGGCTTGTCATATTTATATCTCTGTTGCAATTATCCAAATGATTCACCTAATAATGTGTGTATTGTGCATGGTATGATGCATTTACCAAAACTTTGGTCACTGTACCATAATATGTAAAATTAATGTACTAAAAAATAGTTTTATCCTTTTTTGTGAACATTTTTTGAAGTAGAAATGAATAGAACCAGTTTTACAATTAACATCTACGTTGATATTGCACAAAAGTAGTGCATTTTACATAGTTTGGATTAGAAAATTATTTTAATAAAAAAAAAGTTTATTTAAATTAATGAGCAGCCGTATATAATTAAGCTTTGTGCATATTTATCTGAAACATTGTTACTTATAACTCTATGTGTTTTCTTATTAAGCTTTAATTATAATTTTTTGTTATTAAAGTATTTAAAGGAATAAAATCAATTATATTTTATGAATTATTATTATTATTTTAATATTGAGGATTTATATTTTAAAGATACCATAATGATATCGAAATGTTTTCACTGTAAATTTTTAGTTCAGTTCAAGATATTTGTAGTTATGTATACTGCTTTTAGGATTCCTACATGATTTTTTCCAGGAAAAAAAAAAGAATTTATATGTTTGCCAAAACCAAGAAAAATCTTGTTACAGGATTTCAAAAATTTGGTAAAATTTTCTATAACTTGAAAATTAATGAAATATTATTTTTTCTTCTGAAATCAAGGGAGAATCCCGTACCCTTCAACTAATATTGGTTTCTGGTAATTTTTCTCATTATGAAAACTATGCTAATGTTAAAATGAATAAATAAATAAATATAAGGTATATTTGCTGAAATGCTTCATATTTTATAAGTTATTTTGCTATAAATTTGAAAATTTAAAATTTTGCCTCTTGAAATAAATTTGTCTAAATTTAATGAATTATTTAATGAAGTACAAACTAATGTCCCCAAATTAAATTAGATTACCATCTGCACCTGTTTTACAATACTTTTTATATTTGGATGTATGTTGTTTATTGATCAATTAGAAAAAAAATCTATTTTACATATAAAGCTGTAAAATCTTTCTTGTAAAAATTTGTTCTGCATCAATTTAATTATTTTTTAACTTAAGGTCAAACTGAATGAACGCCAAACCTCCCCACCAGACTATTTGACTGAATCTGAAGTAATCACTCTTATGGAGAAACATGGAATTGGAACAGATGCTTCAATTCCTGTTCATATAAATAATATCTGTCAAAGAAATTATGTTACAGTTGGCAGTGGACGCAGACTAATCCCAACACCTTTGGGAATTGTATTAGTCCATGGATATCAAAAAGTATGTACCTGCTAATTATTAATTAGTACTCTTTTGTTTTAGTTTTTCTTTTTAATCAGTGACAAAATGCCATAATGTTTTACTAGTTGAATAGTTATTTGGAAACAAAATATTCTTTATTTATTGGAAGATTAGCTCTTTTAAAATCAATTGTATCTTTTAATTGTATGATAATTTCTTATTGATCAGTTTTGTCTGAAGTTAAAGTTCTTTAATACTCTAAACTTAGCAATTAATTAATTTGAAATAGGTAAGTTCTGTGACACAGTGCTTTTGAAGCCTACAGAAAATTCTTTCTACTTTTAAAAAGTTAAGAATCATTTGATAGCTGATTTTTCAAACAATCCAGCTCATAGTTTTCACGTGATGTCTTTATTTTTTATTTAATAATAATTCTTTTAACAATATTCTAAATTCTATAAAAAAAGAGATGAAAAACCTACACCAAGAAAAGTAAAATTTTATTAAATAATAAAATACAATTTACGATTTTTAGAAACTTTGGGAAAATTTTTACTACCTCACTCTGCTTACAAGGCAACAATCAGATTCTAATATCTGTCTAAATAGGTACTCTCACCAGACTCTGAACAAACAGACAGGTGATGAAAAAAGGGAAAGAAAAAACTATTGGTAAAAGTTCTATCTGAGGCTTAAAGTCAGCAAAAGTCAAAGTTATGAGTAAATAGCTAGGCTTTAGGCTTAATGTAAAATTTCAATAAAAATAAGGCAGTGGCTTTAAGGTTGCAAATGGAGCAAATATTATAGGTGAAATATCATGCTTTGACCCCATTTAATTTTCTGTGTAAGGGAATGTTTGATAAATTATGCAATAATTTGCAATTAAAATTTTCCATAATTTTATTAATTCTTTACAACTTTTGCTTTTTTATTATCATTCTTTGTATTTTTCTTTTTTTATTAATACTATACTGAGCTTTGAATATAATTATTGTAGGATTGTTTCTCTTTTTTGAAAAGTAATTTGTGTCCTAGATTGCAGTTCCATATATTGTGCAATCTTGAAGTTAACTCTTTTGTACTCACTTAGATTGATTCCGATCTTGTTTTACCAACCATGCGTGCCGCTGTCGAGAAACAATTGAACTTAATAGCACTTGGAAAAGAAAACTATGAATCTGTACTACAGCACACCCTGACAGTATTCCGTTTGAAATTCCAGTATTTTGTAACTAATATCACAGGGATGGATGAATTGTTTGAAGCTACCTTTAGTCCTTTGTCTGAAAGTGGAAAACCTTTATCAAGGTAATTACATGAGAATAATAGCTATGTCTATAAATAAAATAAAAATAAAAAATTTTCTCTTTTTTTTATTAATATTGATCAGCTTATTTATTTATATTGATCAAATTATTTCCACTTGCCAATTTCAAAATACAATTGTGAATTTTTCAAACAATTATAATTTTTTTCTTCTTCATAAACTAACAATATGCCCAGTTTAAAATATTTTCACACAGTGCAAAATTAAGTTTATAGTAATCACAAAGTTATGGAATAGTTTGTGTATGTAATATGTTTTCAGAAACATCAATATTTGCTGTTTTGTTAACTCCTACAGATTTTTTCTGATTCACTTAAATATTTAATAAGTGTTTTTTGTAGCTAATGTAGTTTCTGTTGCTCAAAGAACTATTTTTATTGGATATATTATGATATTAAAGCCGCGATGGCACATAAGTTAAATACTGCATTGGGATCTATTTCCAGTGGTGGCTTGAACTGCACTGAGTTTCAGATCAGTAAGTCCCAAATTGTCTCAGCTGCAAAGGTAACAATCACACATTGCCACCAACTTGCTGTTGGTTATGAAATTAAGCAGTCATGACCTCTTGGCTGACTTTTAGCTGCCGTGGAAGTGCTTTTCTTTGCTTTATAAAATAATATTATAATTTTTTATTGATTAAATGCTATTCTTATCATTTGGAGCATTTTTTGTTCAATGTTCTGTCATACTGTTCATAAGTTAAAACTAAATGTCAGCATATTAAAAGGATGCAAGATAAATATGTATTTAAAAAATCTAATTTACTATGAAAAGCTACTCACTGTGTGAGATGTTAAATATGAAAGTAAATCCCATAAAATTTAAGGAGTTCTTTAGTGTGCCATTTTTAGAACTTTAATTAGGTAAGTGTTGTATTATTAAAGTGCAAATTGTACACATTTAATTTCACATAATTAATTTTATTAACTGTTCATGTTAATTTCAAAGCATACAAAAAAAGTTAAAATCCGTGCATTAATTTTCATTTATTATGTAATCCATAAATAACTTTAAAAACAGATCAAATTTGCAACAACCTTATTCCTGTTTTAAAAAAAAACTGTAGAGTTTCAATTTAGGTTATTAAATGCAAAATAATTGTTTATAATGTGTGTCTAACTAAGTAAAGAATTTCGAATAAATATTTTAGTCATTTATTTATTTCAAATTCATAATTATAATTATATTTTCAGATGTGGAAAATGTCGTCGTTATATGAAATTAATCGCTACAAAGCCCATGAGGTTGCATTGTCCCACCTGTGATGAAACTTTCTCAGTGCCTCAAATAGGTGGCAACATAAGAATATTTAAGGAATTAAAGTGTCCTTTAGATGATTTTGAACTTTTACAATTGACTGGAGGTACAAAAGGAAAGGTAAAACATATTATTTTTATTTATTAAAAATATTTAGTGTCTCAAAATATCTACTGGTTATTAAGTCCCTGTGGCAGAATTTTTTCGAGCTGTGACGAAACTCTAGCACTAATATCTTTCTGCAAGATACTTTTAATAATAACAAGCATTACTAATTTAAAATAACAAAGGCACTGTGTCTTTTTTTAAAAAAAAAATCTATAATAATATTTCTTTTTAATTAACATGTAATAATTTTTAATTCTAATATTATGGGTGATGTTCTTGCATTTGTTTGGGGGAGGGGAGCGCATAAATTATTTCCTTTTTCACATTTTGTACATAATCGTCACAATAAAAAAAAACAACTAAAAATCATGAAATTCGTAGTAGTAATTGCCGAAAAAAAGATCGACGACGAAATTACACAAATCTGACTCCTTGAATGCGTTTTTCGTTTCGAGATTAGGTTGTTGTAAAAAATAATATTGCATAAAAAATATCAAATTTAAGAACTATAGAGAAATCAATAGTAATAACTGTCAAAAATTCAATAGAATTGTTGCCTTAAAAAGTAAATACTCAAATGCACGATTCGAATATCGGAATATTTAAAAAACCATGTGAAATAAATAATAATAACTGCTGAAAATACAATTGAAACATTACATAGATTTACCATACTATTGCCATACATTGGGCGTGTCAAAAAGTGATTATCTAAATGCATGATTCCGATATTACATGTAAATTTCTATAGAAAAGAAAAGTAAAATGTTTTGCTTTAAAAAAAATCTTTCTGCAAGAACTCTGTGACATTCTGTGACAATGTCGCTGTGATTCTGTGACAGGGAGAGATATTTGGATTGAAATTATACGAAAATTTTTGTATGCAGTTATATAAAGTGCTTTGAATAAAGTTAAACTAAATTTCAAAAAATTTAAAAAAAATTAGTTTGGTTTTTTAAAAATATTTTAACTATTTTTTTTTAAAAAAAAGATTAAATCTTCTCTTTTTACAATCTAGAAGTATAAGATATTATTGTGTTACATATTTTTGCCTGTTTAATTTAGTTAATGTAACACTATTCAATTTGTGAAGCCTAATTGTTGCTAATGCCTTAGACATTCTAATGCTTTACTACAAATATCATAAAAATCTATTTTCCATAGTTGACGTTGTACACAATCAAGTTTAAAATGCTTATTAAAAGTAGGAGCTTTATTTAATTTATGTTTTAAATTTTTATTCATTGATTATTTCTTTTTCAGAGTTATATATTTTGCCCTTATTGTTATAATAATGCCCCCTTCCATGATATGCGAAAGTTGTCTGGCTGCAATTCTTGTACTCATCCCACCTGTCCTTATTCACTCCAAAGCAATGGCGTATCTAACTGTTCTAATTGTGATGGAGGAATATTAGTACTAGATCCTGGATCAGGACCTAAATGGAAGCTCTCGTGTAATAGGTAAAATAATTCATTTGATTTCTTTATTTCTATCTGCAATTTACTGTTAGTTTTGTAGCAACTTTAATTTAGTTACCAAGGAAAAATCCAGACAAGGTCCCTTTCACAAAATTCAAATTTATTAAACAAAACCGTGACAAAATTGAATTTTTAAAAAATTGCTCTTCCACAAAGCTTCATATTATATAAGTATTTGGGCTTTAATAACTTTTGTCAATTTATTACTCTAACGTGCTTTTTAATTCTTTTGATTTAAAATGTAGAATAAAGTGACTGCTGAAAATTGAATTTTTACATGATTAAGAAATTTCCATTGAAATAAAAAATGCTAAAAAAGAAGGGCAATCTTACACAGTCTAATATACCTTCTGAGAAAAGTCATAATTTTTTTCCTTAAAAGTACCTAACTCAAATTAACTACCTAATTCAAATTTTGTGTGAAATTTAAAATAATTATTACTATATTAGTATTATTTAAAATACTTGTTTTATGCTTGTAAAAAAATGAAAGCAGGTAGTTATAAACAAACTAGTCCCATTTTTCTTTACATCGTAAAAAACTAATCTAAATAACTCTAGTATAAGTTTTCAAGAAAAATTTTGTTAGGTTGAAAAGGAATTAATTTTAATAAATGTTGTTTGTTAATTTTTAGTGTTAGGTAAATATTTTTTAAAATAAATAATATTTTGCTTTTTTTTTATTTTTAAAGGAACAAAAAATACTAGTAATATTTATGAAATAAATGTAAATCTCAATATATAATGTAATTTATCAATTTTTTTTAGTTTAAAATTAATTTATAAGTATTACCTAGTATTCATATATTGATATTTATAAAGTATCATTTTTTTAAAAAAATATATTTAAAATATTAAATTTTTTTTCAATTGCATTATAATTCCCTTTCCCCCCCTTTTTTGTTTTGTTTTTAAAACTGCTTATGTTTTTATCTTCTACATACGTTTTTTTACTCTTTTACTACAAACTCTTATAACTTAAAAGGTCACATGCCAGTTCTAATATGTATGCAAAACATTTTTAGTTATTTAGTAGGGAGAGAACAAATAATAGAACAGCATTTATTTAAGTTTTTTACATGTTTTAAGAAACTTATTTTGAATTAAATTCATCAGTGAGTTATGTATAGTCACTGTTTAATTTTAGGTGTGATACAATTGTTCGCCTGTTTGAAGATGCTGTAAAAGTCTCTATTGATGATGATACTTGTAAAGATTGTGGTGGTCAACTTGTAACAGCTGAATATAAGAAAGTAAGGGCATATTCTTTTGTTCAAGTATTCTTTTTTATTACATAAATTTTCAAATAGCTCAGTTTATGGTTTGTATGTTAGTATTAGTACATGGTTTGTGAGAAAAGTAATTTCACTAAATAAAAAAAACGGGTATTTATCGAAATTGTACAACACAATAAAAATTTTAAAAATTTGTTCTTTGTCCATCTATAAATAACTTCCAACAAGATTTCTTAGCATTGTATGTCTCACAGTGAGATAATGATAACGATAATTTTCAAATGTTGTACAAAAAGAATTCTGGTTGAGCCATGTCCGAACTTAAGAGTGGGCATCTTTAAATCAGCCAGAAAGTACATCATGAAGAAGAAAGAACTGTGAGACGTAATGCCATTGCGAAATTTTGTTAGGAACTGTTTGGAATGTTTATTGTTATTGCTGTTACAAAATAACTGAGAAATTGTCTGAGCTCGAGACTCCATTTGTGTCTAATTATTGCATGTGGTTGGTCATTGATGGTCTTTCAGCTCCAACTTCATTGTTAATATTTTCTTGGCATTCGAAAGAAGAAAAAAGAATTGCCCTGTGCCACAGGTAGAATAGCCATATAATCACAGGAAAAACAAAAATGAGTTTCATAAAAATGTAAATCTTTAGATTGGTAAGTGACCACACATTTGTGAAATAACTGCTCCCTTTTACCAATTACAACTGTTTTGAATGCACTGGTATAAGCTTCACTATAAAATCAAAGCTATTACTTTTCAGGCACAACAGACCATGTAATTTTGCTGCAATTTATTTGTTTTTTGCTATGAGAGATTTTTGAATGTAATTAATAGTATTTTTATTGCATTATACAGCATATGCTGCTTTAAGAATCACAATTCAATGAATGGAATATGATAATAGCTCGTTTAATTAATGAAAATGTATTTTAGATACTATTATTCCAGGCCTAAAAATATTTTTAAATGTAGCTAAGTTAACAAAAGCCATTTTAAAGCAGCAAGAATTACTCTAAGAATTTAAAAAAGGAAATTCATTGTACCCCTTCAATAAGCCTTGGGCGGGGGGGGGGGAACAATTGACCCAATATCTCATAAAACTGTACCCCTTCAATAAGCTTTGGGGGGTGGACAATTAACCCAAAAATTCATAAAACGCTGGAAAAAATTAAATGAGAGGAATTCTGAAACAAAAAAATTAATTATTTTTCAGCTCTAGGTAAAAACCATACAATCATTATTTTTTTTTTAGTTTCTATTTTTTCTTGTACTTCATTTACTTTGCGTCTCATGAAAATTAATTATGAAAATATTTTAATTTTTCAATAAAATGCAGAAGCACATTTATAAATCATTTAGGAATGAATTCACAAAGAATTTTTAATTTAAAAATATTTTTTCTTGCCCAAACGTAAGCAAACATTGAATTAAATTTGAAATCTTTTATTTGGCCGTAAAGGAGTTGATTGACCCAACAGATGTGAACATAAATTTGTAATAAAATATAATTAAACTTAGCATTGTTATATTTTTTTATTACAATTTTTATAATTTATTTACTTCTAATTTATCAGTTAAGAATTTTTTTCCATCTTAAAATTAACTCATTTTTGTATCCAATATTTATACTTTTTATTTTACATCTTTGACTAAAAATTCATCTGTTCAAAGTTCACAAATTTTTACAATTGTTTGATTAAACCTGTTACTTTTCATCAGGATAAAACAAAGTTTGGTGGTAACATCACAGAAGCAACAGGTTGCATTTTCTGTGATGCCAGATTCACATCTCTCGTTGATCAGCAACAAGCCATGAAATTCCACAATTCTTCCAGAGGCAGAGGTCGTGGACGAGGCAGAGGAAGAGGCACAAGATCTAGAGGCAGAGGTCGAAGCAAACCAAAGGACAAAATGGCTCAACTAGCTGCCTACTTTGTATAAATCTTTTTATAGATTGTTATTATTTTTGTTACATTTTTTCGTTTTGTTATTAAAATGTCCTTTTTACTAAACAATTTTACTAACCTTATTTATGATTTGGCTCTCGTGAAAGACACACTATCAAATTTTACTAATTACTTGTTTGGAGAACATTATTTATGCATCTTACAATGCTGTACAGACAAATGATTTATTTTTTCCTTTGTAATTTTCTTCTTGAATCAAATTAGATCAAACACAAATAATAAAAGTTAATATTTCGACTACAAAAATATTTTTTTGCATGAAAAGTTTTGTTTTGGAATTGCATTTGTTATGAAGAAAACCCTTGTAACTTCCAAACTATTAGTCCTATCAACTCGAATTTTCTTTCATTCGGTTCAGTAAAGCAAATTTCAGCATAAAATTTACCTGATACGTTCAAACAGCCCCTAGATAGCTAAGTAAAAAGTGTACTAAGTTATGTCAAAAGTTTTTTATTCATAAAAGCTCATACCACTTTTACCAATTGCTTGTTATATTGACTCATGCATAGCATTGATCGATTCAAGGTAAAAACAAAATACAGAAGAAATAATGTTTCATTTGTTTAGACAGCAATATCAGATGCATTAGTAGATACAAGTACAAATGTATTCATAAAACGCTTATAACTTCTAAACTATTAGTCCGATCATCTCGGGAACTGTATTATTCAATTCAGTGTGAAAAAATAAATCACTATTAATGCCTTGTTTGTCTGTCTAGAAAAATATCAATTTTCTCCCCCAAATCACCAACATTTCACGCAAAAAAGGAGAAATATATAGAGGAGTGTAGCCCAATTTACGGGTATCTTTTATAAGGACATAAAGCTTTTAATGACAAAAGTGTCTTGGGTATTATTTGTCCTGTAGTAGCACTATTTTTTTCTATAATTACTGGTCTCGAGGTGAAATCTTTCTCTTTCATATTTGAACACTTTATGAAGATGTAATATCGTAGGGGGTCACCAGTTCCAATCTAAAATAAAAGTATATTGAATAATTTCCTATGTGTGTTAATTTCTACTTGCATAACTATTAATCCATCATAATTCTGTACATGATCATACATATATATATTGCCAAAAGCCTTGGTTTGAGCAGGGTTTACCACACTTATATTATGTCCAAGGTCATACACGCACATATATATATATACTTAATTATTCATCTAAAGTATAAAAACTGAACAAGAGTATAAATAGAAAAATGTAAATTATGGTTCTGTACTAGTTACCAACCCTACAGTACTTAATTTACATCAACATTTCAGTTCTTTTTTAATTCTTAACTTTTCTGGAATTATATCAATTGGATAACGAATTATATTTATGTTTGATCAATGCAATTTTATTCAATTCTGGGTAACAAATCTTTTATTAAAAAAATCTATCAAGTATTGCATATAAACATTTATAAATTTACTGATCTATATTTATAACATCCACAAACATATATCACAATATAAAATTGTTTCATAAATAAATCTCTAAAAACTATGTATAAATAACAAAATCATATCAGCACTAAGCCTTTGCTTTCATTTTCATCTGGTGTTAATTGATTCATTGAACTTCTGAATTGCTTGCATCAGTACTTCAATTAATTCACCTTTCCTTAAAGCAGCAGTTTCCAAATGGTGTGACCGTGGATTCCTAGGGTTCGGTAGAAGGTTTAAAGAGGTTTTGTAAGTTTTTTTTTAACCAGTGATCAGTTTTTAAACCTCTGATTATATTTAAATCCAAACTATTATACAAAATTTATGTAATTTTTCAGTTGCCTGTATGAAATTGTTATAAGTAAAATGCTAATGAAGTATATAAAAATGGTATTTTTTTAAAAGAAAATATTGTTTTTCTAACAACGATATATTGATCAAATTATGATAAGAACGATTTCAAAGTAAACCAGAATTCGGAATATTTTATTCATTTTCAGCTTATGTATATATGCTACTGGCAAAGTTTGAAATCCGGCATTCTATAGAATGCTTAGGTATGGTATATTATGCCTAAAACTAGCCGGCAATGTATGAAGGCATTTATATTTCTCCCATTTCCTAAGCATTCTATAGAATGCCAAATGAGAAACCGTCAAAGTATAAAATAATCTCCAATTCATTTCATAATGTAATGAAATGTAATTCAAAATGCCATTCAAGCCTGCCATGTTGCAACAAGTAGGTTAATTTCTTATTTTTTATATGAAAATTTTGTTTCCCTTAATAAGAAAGGCATAAATTATGTTTTGTACAACTTTCATTTTTCTTTACGCATTTTGAATAATTTTTTTTTAATGGCACTCTTTATTTTTTTTCAGAATAAAATTTTTATTTTTGAGAAATGCACATCATTTACATTATAACCTAATCAGAACGTTTTTTTTCATACTTTACCTAAATAGCATTTGTCATTCTTTTAGAATGCTTAGGTATTATATACAAGGCCTTGGGAAAGTATGTAATACTTCTCATATTCCATATCTTGCCTAAAAACATCCGGCATTATATACAATGTCTGGGCATTATGTAGAATTCCGGCGTTTCATACTTTGCCGGCAACATATGTGCCAAAAACTTTTTTTAGATATAGTACAAGGAATTATTACAAATTTTAACTGTTGGGCATAAAACTTCATTTAACTTTATCAATGATAAAACGATGAAAAAATTTCATTCCTCTAATCAAATATTTTAAAACTAATCTTTTATAGGTAAAAACGTTCACAATTACCTTAATTAACTTCATTTGTAAAGCCTGGGTTCCACCGAAAAAATTTTGATTATTTACAGTTAAGTACTCAAAAGAAAAAAAAATTGGGAACTGCTGCATCAAAGAACTGAGAATATCTCATCCTTCTGGTTGACTGTCACCAGGTTCTAGTGTATCCAATAACAAAATAGTACCAGCATTAAGCGTTGCTTTCATTTTCATTTGATTTCGGTTGCGATCCATTGAATTTCTGAAGTTCATCTTTGATAGCTTGTATCAAGGATTCGACCGGTTCGCCATTTCTTAAAGAATTGACAATATCTATTTCGTCATACTGGCCGACTGTGGCCGGATTCATTCCGGAAGAATGACCCAAATATTGATCTGATATAACTTCTTGTAGAATGTTTATTGTGGATGAGAGAGGTACTGTTGTGTCCAAACTTCCCTCTGGCAGGGTTTCTAGCATAGGTGACGAGGAAGAGTGAGCAGCTGCTGGCAACTGACCTATTCTTTGGGATTGGAATGGGAAGAAGTTAATGTTTTTATTGCATGCCTCTACTGGTGGTCGATCGGAACTGTAAGCTCCAGCCTGTAATAATAAAGTTAATGAGACAGAAATTTAAAGCTAAAACAATATAAAATATCCTGAAAATGTTAATCAAGTTGTTAATTAGTCTCAGAGTCGGTATGGTGGGTTTAGTCTTTGCCCAGCCGTGGTACAATTCCCCGTGCTTAACCCCTTTACGATTGGTTCATTTTCACGAAAACGGTCATAAAAGTGCCTATTTTGTCAAATACACGTTATTGATTAATGCTGACATCTAGTTTAAAATAAACTAACCATCTACAATTACCTTAAAAATATCCTGGTATTGGAATAAATTAGGAACTTTTGCCAATGACCTGTGACCAGTTTTAGCAATTTTTACGGTGGCCCACTTTCTTAAAATATGTGGCCGTTTTTTTTTTAAAAAAATTTAAAATTTCAAATGATTAAAAAAAAATTCGATATTAATAATGTAAAGCATTTCTCAAAATATGACAACATTGTAGAGTTCGTTTAGAAAATGAAGAGAAATTTTAAGAAACAAACGCGAAATGCAGTAATTTCTGAACATTATAAAATATTTATAAGAATTGTATTTTTGTTAAAAAAAATAATAAAATACAGATTGATTGTATTTTTGGCATAAAAGTGGTGATTATCAGGCAATTTTTAATTGCCATTTGTGATATTTAGACACCCTGGGGCTGGTGGCGGTCATGAATTTTGCTCTATATTTAGTGTTTTCAATGTAGCTTACTACATGTATCTACTGGAGGAATAGCTGTTATCTTATTTTAGAACTGAATTTTGTACTGTCGATATCTTTCAAGGACAAAACATTGAATATTCTTGCTCATGTAATAATTTTGCAGTTTTGTTTGTAATATGTAAACTTAATTTTTTTTTCTGGTTAAAAATCAAAAAAATTAGTAATTGTATTACTAGGTATTTATTTGATTAGTGCCCTATTTTCAATCAATATAGGTTCTTCTCAGAATTGCAATTTTTTTCTTTTGGGACAGTTTTGAGTTGCGTGGAAATGAAGCTTTTCATTCTTTGAATAGCTTGGAGCACCAGTTTTATTATTTTAAAGTTCAGTTCCACAGTAGTTTCCTCTGTTTTTTCATTTTATTTTTAAGTAGCTTAAACAATTTATTAATGCTTTTACTTTAACTGGAATTACAAAATTACAAATTTTGAAACTATAATTTGTTTTGTGTAGTGAATCTCGTAATATTTTTAAATAAAATATGCCTGTTTTGGTTCTAATTTTGCAAAAATATTTTGAAAAATGTTTATCTTTCAACTTATTTAAGCTCAGATAAGCTGGGTTAGATTTCATATTGTTCTATTAACCATCCATCTAAAAAGACTTTAATCAAAACTATAAAAGCAAGTGAAAAAATGCTTCGTTTAAGAGCTGCAGTTAGCAACAATCAAAGCACTTAAATTAAGTGTTTTAATGCATAAAAAAAAAATATTAGACCTTTTAGTAATTTTTTTTAAAAATTGTTCCCGATTACTATTATGCATATCACGAATTAAAATAAAGTAAATTACTATCTGAGATGCCTTAATAATTTTACTATATTATAGAAAACAGAAACTGTGTTTAGTCTTAAATTAAAAAAAGTTATGTAGATGTGTTTATAAAAAAGTAAACTTGCCTGTTCATCCCAAACCAACTTTGGTGGTGGATGAGTTTGTGTTATAAGTTGACCATCATCTGTTATTGTTCCCAACAACCTTTCTCCACCTTCTGAAATGGGTCGAGGATCACTTGCAATATCACCCGCTTGCCTAAAAATGAAATTTACATAAAAATAAACTTATTTAATTACTCGCCCAAAACTTTATGTTCCGGGACAGGACGACACGTGAGTCAAGATGAGATGCGTCGTGTTTGTGCGGTCAACTTTTTATTTTGACTAGGACTTTTTATTTTGTTCCAGGAGTTTCCTTGTCTTCTGGATTGGTTCAAAATTACAAGACTACGGAGTTGAACATTAGTAGTAGTAAACCCAAAAATGGGTCGGCTGTTCAACGGCGGATATAAAATAAAATATTGTTCGCAAATCAGGTGTATTATTTAAGAAGAAAGATATCAACAAAATAAGATCCAAAATTTAAAAATATATTTTAATAATCATTAATGCAAAAAAAAAAAAAAAAAAAAAAAGCACAACAAGATTAAAAAAATCAGATTAAATTTGAAACTTTTTTTTTCAGACTGTTTTTTTTTCTTCCTTTTTTTTTCACTTGCGTTTATGTTTAATACTTTTACACAGTATAAACTAAAAGTACTTTTATTTCTATTTATTTATCTTTTGATTAACTTATTCAGATTGGCGAGCAGAGAGCAAAGCCTCTTAGTTTAGTTATAAATTTCACATAAGGAAAGATTTCATAGTATTGCTATTTTAACAAATTTTTTTATTTATTATAATCTTTGAAATTTGAGCCGTAATAGCTCAGGGGATTGAGCGTTCACCTTTAGGTGAACAGGGTTTGAATCCCAGCGATGGCTGGTCGATAAAAATTCCGCACCCGGCTTGCACCAACCACAGTGGTAGACGGATCACGAATTTGAGTCCCTTTGCCGTCAGGCCAACCGTGGAAGGTTTTTATGATCTTCCTCTCCATGGAGCGTAAATGCATGTTAGTTCCATCAAAAAGTCCTCCACGAAGGCAAATTTCTCCAATACTTGATCCAGAAGTTCCCTTGTCTTCTGGATTAGATTCAAAATTGCAAGGCAACGGAGTGGAACATTCGTGGTCGTAAAAACAAAGAATTGAGTCGGCTCTTCAACGACAGTTATAAAATAAAATAAAATCTTCAAAATTTCATTTTCTAAGTGTATTTAAACTTTAATATTATTTTGGAATATAAGTCACTATAAAAAATACCTTGTATGTGGTCCTGCTTCTGCTGACTGCGATCTGAAGCTGGAAGATCTTGAAAAAATATCATTGGTTGTTGGCTCAATCTTCTTACTGCGTAAGCTAATTTAAAATTAAAATAAATATTTTCATTATTTTTAAGTAAATTAGTTAGTCCTCATGTTAATCTAATACAATGTAAACCAGGGATTTACAACCATTTTTAGGTATCGGGCTACAAAAACTAGGAAGTATTATGTTGAAGGCCAGCAATAACATGTCTGTAATTGTAAAAATTCAGTGTGAATTTAGATTCTAGTTAAAAAAAATACTAATATTAATTATACATGCATAGCTAAATTTTTCAAATAATGGAGATAATATAAATTAATAAACATATTTTTATTTAATCAAAATGCTTTAAACATATTTGGAAGATTAAGAAGCAAACAAATTAATGTGAAAAATGAAAGAAAAAGGAAAGAAAGATACTTAAAAAATTTCATTTACCTCAAAAGTTAACTTTTACTATTATTTAGTTAGAAATTTATTTTTTATTTAATCTAAATGCTTTAAACATATTTGGAAGATTAAGAAGCAAACAAATTACCGTGAAAAATAAAAAAAAAGGAAGAAAGACACTTAAAAAATTTCATTTATCTCAAAAGTTAACTTTATTTAGTTAGAAAACAAATTTTTTTACTGTTCCTGATATAGTATCAGATTAACGGGATTGGAATCTTAAAATCAGGTATGTTCCCATTTATTTGAAAAAAAAAATCGTAAGAAATTTATTTTTACTGCTAACAACTGAGTTACAAAGAGAATTTGCAAAATTAAAATTAACCCCTTCTCTGCCGGCGTAGCATCTCATTCGTTCGGCGTTATTATGCCCGTATGGTCGACTTCACTACTTAAGTCCAGCGATTATTTTTGTTTCTGAATATTGTTAAGAGATGGCGCAACTAGTCCCACTTTCTTCACAATTTTCGCAGTGAGATCTCCCGTCTTGAAATGAAATCAAAATCATTCTTTACTTTTCTTTATTAGTGTTACCTTGCATGTCAAAATAGTTATGATAGTTATGTGATAAATATGATTTTTTACGCTTTGATGACTAAGACTGATTGTAAAGCTGTTTTAGCGTAAAGTTTGAAAAATTATTTTCCAAAATATTTCGTACCTAATATTAATAATTATTTTATGCTAAGATTTATCTTAAGCACCTTAAAGCAATAGAGTTAATAAATATGTTATCACAGTGTATTTAAGATAAAACGTGGTGCATTGTAGGGAAAACTGGAGATCAGTGGACGGTACATCACATCAAACAAAAAACTGCTTGCTGAGAAAATTAATTTGCATTTTCGAATTTAGGATAGAACATACATTAATTTTCAGCAATCAAAAAAGTGCTTTATTTTGGATCGGGAATTCGAAAAAAAATCCGATACACAAGGGGTTAAATGATTACAATATGGTACTCTGAGAACGATGGAAATAAATCAGTAACTATCTATTCAAAGTCTTAGTCAAAGTTCTTAGAGCAGCAAAAATTTTTGCAGCTTTTACCAAGTACATTTTTTAATAACATTTTTCTATATATTTATTGTAATCCGTTTCAAATTATGAAAAGACCATTGCGATATAGGATTTAAGAAATTATCCGCGACTTCGTATAGTTCCGTTTTATTTCGTTATCAAATTATGCAAATATGCTTTCAAAACAATGTAAAACCATTTAAAGAACTCGTCGGAGAGAAATGTTTCATGGCATTTATCATAGAATTATTAAATAAAGTTTATAGTTTCGTAGTTTTACTGGAATCTTAGATTTGGCGACATATTTCGATGAATATGGAGAACATATTTTCTTGAAAAAGAAACAACTATATGGCGTTGCGAGAGTATGGGATTTGATTGGACCACTAAAAATGGCGGGTCTTATGCTGACACGCTCTTAACAAATCAAATGCGAGATAAAGAATTTTTATTTTTGATCCTTTGTAGAAGAAGAAAATCGTCTGCAAGAAACAAAGCTTATTATTCTTTCATCAGTTTTTTTAAATGCGAACAGAAAAATGTATATTTGTTACGATTTTTAGATATCATTTTTATTAATTCTTATTACTTGTTAATTTATTATTGTTGTTAATAAAAGAACAAGCAAAAAAGAGGCTATGCAAAGTTGCTTCAGGAGTTGGCGATGATGATATACGTTCACGCTCGGAGATTGGTATCCATTTGGTGTGCACTTAAATGCAAACAGGTTCCCTCCATAGGGATAATGGTTTTTTCTTAACTTGCGACGGAGTATAGTACAGACTGTTCAGAGGCCAAGTTAAGAGGCTTTAGAGGCCACTTTTGTCCCTTAGACCATAGGTTGTGCATTTTTATGTATACTACTATATAAATATAATAATGCAAATGTTGTTTTTGTTTTTTAATTTTATGGCTGAAAAAAATAAAAAATTAGCTTTTCTCACCTTCCATGCAACTTTCTGCCACCAGCTAGAGCAAAAGCATCTTCCAGTAACTCAGATATCCTCTGTCTTACTCTAGATAGATGCTGGTTTGTCTCTGCCGCAGCTGCTTCACTTTCAGATTTAGATTGAGCCTGAGTGAATTGAATAAAGTGAATTTAGATAATGAGTTAAATTTTTAAGTTGAAAAAAAAAAGTTATTTTGAGCAATTGGATTTTTAAATGACAAAAAAAAGGATGACTCAGTTCAAAATTTCGGGATTTATGCTGGAACATTACTATTGAGATACTGAAAAATTTAAATTTTTATACACATTTAAAAGAAAATCACAGAACAAAGAATTTTATACATAATTTCTTTTCTGCAGTGGAGTTTTGAATGGAGAAAAAAGCTTTTAAGATATCTTCAGTTAACTTACCAGAACTCGAAAAAATGAATAATATTGAGTTGTTTTATAAGTTAATCTTACAAATCATTGACATATTTTATGTAAATTAAATTAACTTACCTGTATGATATTTTATAAGTTAAATTTTTATATTTAAAAGAAGATCATAGAATAAAGAATTTTACACATAATAATTTCTTCTCGAAAACCTGCTGTGGGTTTTTCAATGGAGAAAAAAAGTTTTTAAGCTATCCGGTTATTTTACTAAAACCTGAGAAGATGAATAGTATTGAGATGCTTTATAAGATAATTTTGCATATCATTAATAAATTTCGTGTAAATTAAATTAACTTACCAGTGAGATACTTTATAAGCTAAACTTTTATAATTAGAACAAGTTAACATAAAAAAATGAGCACTTATTTTTAAATTTTTCCTAGAAATTTCAAAAGAGAACTTTAAAATTTCCGCATCTATCAAACCAGAGCCTCGATATTGTGATACTTTATAAGTTAAATTTATACACCCTCGAAATGTTTTGTATAAAATACATCAGTTTTCTATTGAGATACTAAGTAAAATTTCTGTATTGACAAATAAAAGCTTTAGAATTAAAAAAAAAATCATCTTTTTGATAAACTTTTTCAGGGCTATCCTATAGATTTTGAAGAAATAAAGGAAATTAAGTTTTTGATGAAGCAAATGAGAGCTGGCAACTTCAAGTTAATTTGTCACTTAACTATTATATCCTTGAGAGGAGGAAGCAGCTCTGCATTAGAGCCCTCACTTTCTCTTTCATCTCCTTTATCAGAAGGAGTGCTTGGATTGGATGAAATGTGCCTGAAATAATTTAAAAAAAACATAAACATTGGTATAGGCGCTACAATAAAGTAACACTTGAAACAAAAATTCCAACAAGAATTAAATGTTAAATATGATAATAAGTTCGTTATATGGAAAACTCGTATAAATCACTTTTTAAAATACTTGAGCAACACAAAACAGGTTTTAAATTCATAAACACTGGGCATAATTAAAGTAGCAATGGATGCACCGTTATCTTGTAAACTAGTATCTACTATTTATTTTATAAATCTGAACTATAAAAGAAATTTGCCTGGAAAGCAAGAATAGAACAAAACATTATCCAGTGTTACACTATTATGCTACATACATTTTCAACTGAAAAAAAGCTAAATTTATGCATAAAATTTTTATTGCAAAAAATATTTAAACATACATTACTACATGCGCTCTTTAGTTTAATTGCTACTGATAAAATCCGTTAATTTGGACTGAGTTTTTCGTTTGAAATGGAAACAAAATGGGAAAGGGATTTTACTGCTTCCTTTAAAATAACTTTTAGAGAAAGCAGCAAAACAATTACATAAAGTAGCGGGTTCGAAAATTAATTCAAGGTCATTTCCCCCATAAAATGCGTTAAAAAGTTTGAAATGTTCAGAAATATTTTGAAAAATAGGGAAAGTGGATCTCGATGAAAAGTTCGTTATATAGAAAATTCACTTCGCTATTTATTTTACGAAGAAATTTCCTAAATGTTCTTGGTTTCTCGAAAAAATTCGTGAAATAGAGAAATTCGCAAAATGGAAGTTCGTTAAATAGAAGTCCGACTATATATATATAGTTTATGCGACTTTTTATACTTAACAATAGAATTTAAAGCTTTGAGAGGCCTGCAATAAATTGCGAAATAAAACAAGTATTTTGCAACACCCAATATCCGAAAATCAAGCAATAAGCCTGTAACTTGTATCGATTACTTAAGTTGTTATTTTTAATAACTGCATAAAGTTTCCTAAGCCTAGAGTAAATATTTATGGAGATATGGACATTTTTATAAAAAATTAATTTTTTCGCCTTACGTTATTTCATAATAACTTTATAGATATTCAATGGAATTAAATAAAACTTTTGGAGCATATTAAGATTAATAACAAAATTGACGATTTGAAATTTTAAAAAAATCGCTAAAAACTGCGGTAGTTATAAGTATTTAAGCCAGTTCTTTTATATTACGCATGCACTGATAATTTTTTATCATTTTACTTCATACTGTTGCGAGCCAACTTAATGACATTTAAAATTTTTCCACCATTAAGCTACTTTATACTGTACTTATATCTTCGAGGGACTGTAAAAAATCTATTATAAAAAGTACAGTATTCGTGCAGCTTCAATCGTCATTAAATTAACTCATAAAATACTTTGTACCTAAATAAGAGTATATTTGTCACTTATTAAAACTGCGCCAATTACCTTGATGCGGTGTGCCTATTATTAAAATTTAGCATGATTTGTGTCAATAATAATAAGGCGACTTTTTCCGGTTCCCGTAACGAATAAGTACTTTTTCTCCATTAATTTTTCTTTTTACTTCAGATTTCATTTTTTCATTTCAATTAGAACTTATTACAAAAATTAATTTAGCACCATTGACAGCAACAATAGTTGGCCGATTTCTTAAGTTCTCTTAAACGAATTAGTAGCATTTCTCCATTAATTTTACCTTTTAGTACATAGCTTATTCTTATTTTACTTTAGTTAGTAGCTAATGCCATATTTTTCATTGGCGTCAATAATAATATTGGTGTTTTTTATGCTTATGTTGTTGGTGTTTTTTATGCTACGAATTAGTAACATTTCTCCATTAATTTTGCCCTTTGGTACACAGCTTATTATTTTTCCTAATTAGTAATTTACCAAAACTGATTAGGCATTAACAATAATATTGGTATTTTTTAGGCTTATCCTTAACGAATTAGTTCCATTTCTGCATAATTTTAATTTTTATTAAAAAACTTTTTTTTTTTCATTTCAATAGCCGTTGATTTTTAATTATTTAGTTTTATAAAAACACGTTTTAAAAGCATAACTATAAACAAAATAAACACGTGGTTTCAGATTACCTTAAAAATAGTAATCTATTGGTACAGTTTGCTTACTCTTCCATGATTACGTTGATCATTAAAATAATATGGTATAACAAATAAAATATAATTAAGTATAACTGAACGCGCGATAAACAGCTTTTTAGATTAAAGATAAAAGCTAGCAAGCATCACTGTATTATCTTAGATAGCAAGCATTACTGTGTGTATACAAGGTATGCTATTACGAAGTGCTAAAATATGAGAACGTTTCTGATTTTTTTTCTTCTTTTAATGATATGTGGATGATGATTTAACCATTGATATTTTATAGCAACCTTATAGTTTAATATTATTATTCTTTTGCAATATATATAATGCAATTTTTTCAGTACATAGTTTGGCTACTCAAAAGTTCGTTAACATTTAAAAATTATTCATATTTTGAAGTGAAAACAGTGGCGAGCGAAAATGTTTGCCTAGCTAGTACCCTTAAAACTAAAATTTCTTACCCTAAGTTCAGATATTTAGTGCTATTAAGATAATCAATTATTGAATATTTTCACCAATGGGTCTAATATACGGCACACCACTGTAGGCTGATCCACTGTACAGGCATTTTAAATAAATTGCCTAACAAATCAAGCATTCGACTCGACCAACAACGGGCGATAGTATACCTGGAATCAATGGATTGTTCTTTATCAATGGTTGCTGATGATAGAGCCAATTTCGTAGGCGGAGTAGGTGGAGGGGATTCAGATTGTGTTTGTGGCATAGTTTGTCCGTTTGTCAAACCTGAAAAAAAAATGAAAAAAATATTTTTGAAATTTTAAAATTTGAAACTTTTTTATTTATCGGAAAACATTTTCATGCATTTGTTTCTCTTACTTAAGACGTAGCAAGTTTTTTTTTTTTTTTAATAATAGGGTACTTGCACTTCAAAAAGAAGAAGAAGACCTCCCATACCCACACATGTGACCTCTGATTTCAGCTCATCTTTATCAGAAAAATGGCTTATTAAAGTTGAGCTAAGTTTCCCTACACATAAGTTAGAATGCTAATTAACGATAAGTTAATTTCCGTATCGCACATAGAATTGGTAAAACAAATTCTTTCCTGTCTACTTCCTTTACTTTACTTAAATTTATTATTTGTCGATGTATTTTATTGTAACCGTGATATATTTTTGTTTTGTACACCTGGCAACTTCGATGCATAATTAGTTTGTTTATGTTCTACATTGCTCTTTGTGTTAAGTCTTTGTGTAAATATATAGTAAAAGAATTGAAATCTTTGAGAAATAATCTTTGTGAAAGAATTTATAACGTGTCACTTAAGAGAATTGATACTTGACGGGCTTGGCTTACTCGAAATAGAATGGAAAGAACAGTTGCTCACGTAAACAACTGTCACGTTTCAACAACAAATCAGGATCGAATACCCACACTACGCCATTTGCAGGTATTCCTTTGTAAATTATAATTTTTAGCAAGAGCATTACATATTGATTTGTGACAACTCTGATTTAGTATGAGTTTCTTGATCTGTAATTTCCCCGTAAAAATTATCGCGGGAATAGTCATCTGTTCTGGCTTTAATAAGGTTTGGATGGTCTCAAAGTCTTTGTGTACTAACTATCTCCTTACCAATTGTTGAATTTCTACGATAATGATTTACAGATCAATTTTGTTAGCCCAAATCAAGAATTCTACTTAAATTTACTCTTTAGTATAATATTGCCATACCATAAGAAAGATTAATATTCGAATTTATAGATAAGAACTAACCTTTTGAGCTTTGCTCAAGAACGTCTTTGATTTTTCGTCTTTTCTTTGGTTTCGGATGTTTTTTCTTTTTCGTTATTGTCTCAATGGCTTTACTTGATTCTGTTGTTTCCTTGACAGCTTTCCCAGGAATCGGACTTGTAGAAGCACTGAAAAAAAAAAATATGCAAAAGTATGCTTTATGAATTTTTCAGTCATTTTCTCTTTATTGCTACAATAGCTCCCCACAACCCGAAAACCAACCACTGGACTTCATCGCAATAATCAATTCCTAACAATAAATAAAAAGATACATCAAAATGAAAACTTAAATAATTATCAGATCTAAAATGTTTTAATTGTTTTTTAACACAAATTTGGTTTCATATAAATAGTTTTCGACTATTAACGGAATCATTCAGCTCAGATAGCATACTCGGTTACCAAACTCGGTTTTAAAATCTCATTTAATTTCATGCAATAGAGATCCTGTCCGCAATTGGATATTTCTGAAACTTGTAAATTATCGATTTGAAAACAATAGTAAGAAGCAGTTTGAAACTCTCAAGCTTCTCATGACTCTATTAAGACAATAACAAGAGTTAATACAACCATTCTCATTTCCTTCTTGACATCCATTTTCGAACAATAACTGTTCTTTGCAACAGCAATTGCATAAAAATGCAATTCATTTAAAATATATAAATTTTGCTACTTTTTCTCTTGCTTTAAAGCATAATTAGAGATTTTCCCTCGAGACCTTTTCCCCAAACTTACATATTTTGTATGTAAAATAAATATAAAGAATTGATACCTGTACGAAAATCTACAAATCGTCAAAGAACAAATATCACGAAACAGTCATCGAGGAGTAAGAGCAAAACGTGAAGAGGGCAGGGATATCATATAGTAGTACACAATAATAAAAACGACGAACAACCTAAGAAACTAAAAACTTTTTTTCGGAAAATAATATTTTTGTAAAATCACTGCTGGGATACCTGAGGGAATAGAGTGCACTCATGGTGGCTAAGGTTCACATCTGGCTGATGGCTGGTTGACTCGAACTATGTTCCCTCCAAACTTGGGCCGGCCAACGTGCTGACGTAAAATATCCCCAGTGGTGGACAGAGTGTGGGGTAGACACCCCTTGACATCAGGGAAACCATATGAAGTTTTTATGGTATTCCTCGCCATGTAGCGCAAATGCTGGTTAGTTTCTTTAAAAAGTACTCTACAGAAACCATGCTTTAGTATACATGACTACGACGTAGTCATGTATAGTGAAGCACGAACGTAAAGTACCCAAGGGTGATTGCGAGCACAACTCAAAAATCCTAAAACTTTCTTGTGTAAAATAATTGACGACGCATTTCAAAAAATTAATGTCCTTATAAATTCAAAACATGAAATTCTAAATAAATTATATGCAGCATAATTCAAATGAATAATTATGTATACGCTTACTTTTATCTCTAATCCCATTTATTATTCTACCAGAAAAAAATATTTACAGATGAAAGAGATGCCAAGTATACATTCTAGTTTTAATATTTCTAATAAAATATACAAGAATTTTTATACATGAATGTGATCGATGATTTCTTGAAACTTCTGGACTTTATATTTCCGGAAATTTCCGGATCGCGGTTAATGAAAAATTCGGAAATCCGGATTTTTCCGGATCGCAATCATCTCTGAGTACCTGACTATACATAACTACTGAGTAGTTCTGTCTGGTACTCTACTTTCAGAAGTACATAACTACGGAGTTGAACATTCATAGCAACAATCAGATGTTCATCAGCTGTGATATAAATTATTACAAAAAATTGTTGGTGTACATTTTTCAACAAATAAGAACTTGTTTACTTACTCTTTATTTTCTAAAATCTTTAATATCTTCAATGACTTTTCAAAAGTGTTATCTTCAATGCTTGTGTCTCGAGGTAAAGTAGGCAGACTCCGACCTGTTTTTTCAGCAAGATATGTGTCCGGGGCAGTTGAACCATGTTTCATCTGGGCAGCCATTTCGGCCGTCAGCTGGTGAGTCATTTCTCGGAACAACTAAAAAATTAAATAATTTTTAAATTGCCATCCTCTTAACACATTTTAGTTTTCAGTTATTACCAAAACTATTGTCCTACTTCTACAAAACTTTTAAACAACAACTTCAAAGTAATTTATAGCACAAAAAATATCTTGACCTACCATTATTTGATACAAAGCACGTATTTTTACTTTTTTCGATATCTTTTTTTTTAATTACCCGTTATGTTGCCTGTTATACTTAAATCAATTTAATGATTGTCTATGAGTTGCAAATTTTGCTATCAAAATGTCGACAACATTTCTCTTAATTAAGGCTCTAAAATTTAAATTAGAACTCTCAGCTGGAGGAAAATATAAGTTTGAATTAATTTGTGACCGCTGCAAGCGGAATTTATTTCATAGCCAATAAAAACACGACCAGTATTTAACCAGCCAACATGACCATAATATCAATGGCAGCTCTATGAAAGAAAGTAAGTTTTAATCGCTTCCTGACAATTACAAACTAAATTTATCACCAATCGAAGTTCAATATTTTTTCGATAGGAACTAAGTCTTTTAATTTCAATTACGGCTTCAAATCGCTAACTTACCTTGAGCGATAAAAAATTAATATCGTTTCCTTAATGCCACAAATAGGAGTGATTGCGCTTTTATCGCCAAATAGAATTTATGGTCCATAAGAAAATTTTACCACTAAACCAGCTAGAAAGCAATAATGTTATCTGAAGTTCTCATCTGAATAAAAGTTAGATTTAATCGTTTCCTGACAACTACAAACAAAATATCTTGCCAATCGAAATTTAATATTTTTTGACCAGATAGAGTCCCCAAATTTCAACTGGAGCGTTAAAAGTTTAATCATTCTTGGAACATTACAAGCAGAATTTAGAGCCATTTTATTGTTAAATAGATCTTATAATCTAAATAACACTACCATGTTTTAACCAGCTAGAATTACCATAATATTAATAGTATTAATATTAATATTGGATAAAAGTAAGTTTCAATCGCTTCCTAAGTAAGTTTCAATTGAAATTTAATATTTTTTGACTAAATAGATTCAACTGCATTAACTTTTTGCCCAGTCCTCAAATTTCAACTGGTACTTTTTATCGCTAATTCAACTGGAGAGATAAAAGTTAAAATTGTTTTCTGAATGCCACGTATAGAACTTTTCGCCATTTCATTCCTCAATAAAATTTACAGCCAATAAAAATTCAACCACCGTTTGTTAAGCTAGAAGCTCATAATATTAACTCAAGCTATAGACTTTATGAAAGTAAGTTTCAATCATTTCCCGACGGCTTTAAGCAATATGTTTCTCCAAACCAAATACAATTTATCATTTCCGACAAGATAGAGTTCTCGAATTTCACGCGAAGCTCCGTCACGAGTTACACGAGACCGATGAAAGTTAAAATCATTTCCTGAACACCAAAGGTAGAATTTATTGCCATTTTATCTCTTAATTTATAGCCAATCGAAAATCAACCACTGTTTGACAAGCTAGAAGCTCATGATATTAACTCAAGTCATAGACTTTATTAAAGTAAGTTTCAACCATGACCTGGCGCCTTGAAACAAAATATATCTCAAAAAAAAAGTTTAAAAAAATTTTCTGACAAGATAGAGTTCTCAAATTTCAAATGGAGCTCTATCACCGATTTCCCAAGAATAATGAAAGTTTAAATCATTTCCTGAAAACCACAAACTGAATTTGATTGAAACAATTTTAACGCTAAATGAAATTTATAATAAATTATAGTTTTATCCTTGCTCCGATTATCAGGATCCTTCTCTTAGCCTTTTAATTGGAGCTATGCGCTTTAAAAATTTAGAGCGAAATGTGAAAAATAAATAAATAAATAAAATAAAATCCAGAACGTTTTTTAGATTCCAAGATAAAAACTATTCTTTCGGTTTTATTCGCCAATGCATTAACTTTATACAAAAAAAAGAATACTGAATACTTACATGTTTTCTGTTATGTTGACCATATTTGGAGAGAGATCTCTCCAATGACCCACTGGCTGACGAACCTGGACTGGAAGGAAGTGGCTTGGGTCTGCAACAACGGCAATACACACAGAAACAGCAAAAAATGAGAAATAAGGTACCCAAAGTACCTCCTACTATGGCTAATACTGGAAGAGGAGATCCTGTTTCAGTTTCTTTGGATCGATACGCTAAAACAAAATAAATACGATATGAATATGCGACAAGCAATACGAAAACTGAATAGAATGATAATATTTAGCATTATTTCAACTGGACAATCAAATCACATGATGATACAATCAAATCACATAATAAAATAAAAATGGAAAATGTCAAACTGTCATCATAATTAAACTAATAAAAGTTCTGCTTGCTATATTGTCAAATAGAGTTATTTTAGAAGTTCTCTAAGAAAAGTTTGGGTGGCAAAAAACAGTTACTTTTTGGCCTTTGAGAGCTCTGTAAAAAATGTGAGCTGTTAGTTGTAATGTTGAGGCTGACTCCCGCTTCGCGCTTCCGTGCCACAGGTTCGGAGTTCCATCCTCTGACCGGGCAAGGTTGACTCATTCTTCCATCTCTTCAATGGGTCGATAAAAAGAGTACCAAGCATGCTTGGGGTTCTTCGGAGGTTCTGCGTTCGGCTGACCACGTAACCAGAACATTTGCGTCTGCACTTGAGAGGTCAAAAAACTGGAGGTCAAAAAACTGGAGGCCAAGGTCAAAAAACTGGAATGGACACAGTAGGTCTTGGGTTGTCTCGCCACTGAGTTTCAGTTTAGTTGTAATGTTGGTAAGATTGTAGCTAGAGGGTTACCATTTAGTGATATTTTATTAGCAGGAAATTAATTAACTTAAACAGTGACAGTTGAGCAAAAAATTAGAGTACCTAAGTAACTTTGATCCCTGAAACCCATAGCAACAGTAAATAAGCTTTTAATTTTATTTTCTATTTGTGTTACACATAATCACCATTCGAGAGCATTACTTTTGTGAAACTTTTATATCTTAGTGTTATCTAATTTTTAGTTAGGTATTTCTACTCATGACCTAGCCATTTATGATTAAGAAGAATGATGGACAAGACATTAAAATTGGGGAAAGATTCCTGATCTTGCAAACTTTGTGGTGGCGAGATTTCTCGGGGAAAAAAAGCTTTAAATTGAAATTTACTAACACCATTATAAAAATTTTAAATATTTGTATTCTATCTGAGAACCTAAAGACTAAATGTGGATGATGGGAATGATATTTAAATCTAAAAATGTGGATAAATATAATTACTCTAAGTGAAATAATGTGCATTTACTGAAGGAAGCAAATAAAAGTTTAAAGGCAGTAATTAGAAACGCCTTTAACTTTCATCCGACAATCAAACTGGTTTTGATATTTTAATTCCATCTACCTCCTTACTGATTTGTTATAGATCTCAATAACTTTTTAATTCATTATTTTCGTTAAAATATTAACTTGTGAACTCTAATCTATTTGTGTTATATTGCATTTTTGACAAAGATTCTTAAAAAAATTGATGAAAGGCCCTTTTGCAATAAATCTTATTTTGAAACATTTTAAAGCTGTCATTGTCTACAATCAAAGCAAACATTTAACAATATAGCAACATTTTAAAACTATGTATTAAAGGAGGTGGTATGTTGAGCAAATATTTTTATACTTACGACGAGCTTTCAATATAGCATGGTATCCCAAAAACTGCCTCAGTTGCTCAAACCTCAGAAAACTGAGATATTCGGCAGCTAAAGCAGCAGGTATTAAAGAACCTCCTTTCTCAACTACATAGATGATGTCAAATTGACGAAGAAATATATCGGTTTTAAGTATGAGAATCTGAAATTTAAAAAAATGGGAATATAATTATTGGTAATACGCGAATTAATTATGAAATACTTCTTAATAAATAGATGACAATGAGAGAGCAGAACTCAATAGTAGAGTTTGCAGCGAAATAGTACCTGATACCTGCAGCGAATACTTCTGAAATAATTCTAGATTAGAGGATGAAACAAGTGATATTTTGATACCGAAATTTGAATTCTACAAATCAGTTGCAAAAGTTACTATCAGGTGGTGATGCATTCGCTTAAAAAAGTTCTAGAGATTTCGCGATATATGCAAAATTAACGATAAAGGGTCTAAGCTTTGGACCGCTCTCCTGATCAAACTATCTGAACCATATTTCCCAGATTACGGCTACACCTTATATTTTAAGGATCAATAATCGAAATCCGTCTTAAAGACATCTTTTTTCACAGAAAGTGGGGTTCAGTCTCTGATTTCGTAACATAAAATACCATCTGCACAATTTACGAAATTAGACTATCGAATCGTTAAAAAGGTATTTTCATGTAATAAGATGCCATCATTAGATCGTAAGTTATTAAAAAATTCTCTTTTTCATCTTGCTTACTGTGTACAGTTTTAAATAATCAATAAAAATTTAACGTGAGTGGTATTGATACCAACAAACTAAGAGCCGTGGTATATGGCCCAGTAGTTAGAGAATCGAATTCCGGTTTGGGGTTTGATCATTGACTCCGTTAAGACCCATCTAGTACCTGCTATATACATACTCGTAAAATCTGTGGAATCGAAAGTCTTGAGGTCGGAGGTTAAGCAGTACTACGGGCACAGGATCTGGTAAAAATTTCCTTCCCCTTCCGAGCTATGTCTAAATTGAGGAAGTGGCCTTACAAATTGTTATGGCATGTCTTAGGATTATCCTCAGGAATGTTTCCTAGACCGTCGCCAAAAGCTCAATGTGCAAAGTTTATAAATTTACCTTTACAATGATTGGTTCTTCACTTTCACGTTTACTTCGAAATGCCTCGCTGTAAGCATTAGCAAGTCGAACTTCCATGGTGCGGCTAAAATTTACTGGTAGTTGACCTTCCTCTGGAGCTTCTAGAACTAAAAATAGTCATAGCTTTTATAACATGAAGGGTATACAAAAAACGCCTGACTAACTTTAACCCTTTGACGCAGATGGGACACTGATATCTCTTTTACATTGTTTTTTCTGATGCTCTAATTACAAGCAAAATTATATTTTGATATTTTTTATCAATAAAAAACAGTATAATAGTTACTTAAAAAATCTGTTAGATAATCGGAATTATATAATTATATTTGTACTAAAATATAAAAAAAGTAGTTTTAATTTTTTTTCCTATTCATATTCAAAAATTTATCAACAATTGATTTAAATTAAATAAATTTCAATGAAGAATAACTCTGTTTTCCTATATCTAAATAACTGCAAATAAGTGCAAATTTGTAAAACTTATAATTTGGAAGCAAGTCGTGTTCGGTTTTACCTTTAACTCAGACCAAGACACCGGTTTTTCATGCTGTGTTTTATAATCATAAATTATAAATTTAACCATAATTTATTACTATTAAAACCATAAATTATTAAATGCTAAATTTAATATTTTAACTTATTTTTACTTAATTTAACGCAAAATTATGAAGAAAAGTATAAAAAAATATGTTTGATAAAAATCCTGCGCCAAAGGGTTAACTTGCAAGTCATCATAAAAGACATAAAATAGCTCATTAGTATAACTTAATATTTCAGTAATATTTATGCTGCTGCAACTTTTCAAAAGCTGCCCTCACAGAGTGTAATAAACAACAAGCTAACGTATGAAGCAACTCATAAAAAAGTCAGAGAATAAAGATACACAATAAAAACATAAAAAGAATGGCGATTAATTAAAAAGTAAGAAAATTGTGGTCTTATTATTGTGATCACTGGTTACTAAAATGTTTTTTTTTTCTCGGATAGACTTCATACATTTAAGTAATGCATTGCAAAAACTGCATTAATTAATGTTTGTTCTCTTGCTTCCAATGGACTGGATTGGTGGGATTAACTGGATTCTAACCAATATACGTTTCCTAAGACATCGCAAAGTTCTTTTCCTTCTTCAGTATTTATATTTATATTAACCGCCACCAAAACCGTAATTATAAATGCGTAAAATCGTACAAAGTAAATAAAAATAGTTTGAAATAATATATGTGAAAATACATTAAAATTGCGTGATGATGAAAACAAAAGTAAAAAACTCAGTCTTAAAAATAATCAACTACAAAAAGTTCGAAAATTATCGTCTGCTTTTTTTGTCTGATCTTGTTATGCTGCTTTTTTATTAATCCTTATGTATGCCGGATTTCTTATGGCTCTTATAACTCTATATTAGTGATCATGGTGTTTAAGCTGATCAAAACGAAAAATATGCTGACATAAAAAACCTAGAACAACTCACCCTTTTCCAATTTGTATTAAATAAAATATTACAAATCAATAAAACTTCATAGGCTGCTGTTATGTTTACAGACAACAAAATCTAACTTTTTATTTCTTTTAGATGCTGTGACGTGTTAAAATTTGTCTGAAAATTATCAATTATTCGGTACCACAGTTAAGCAAAAATGTAATCAATGTTTGGAATCCTAATGTAAGAATAACAACAGTTTTGAGTACAATATAGTTATAGTCATTAAAAGTAATTATACAATTTATAGTTAAAAGTAATCCAAATATGATCAAATTTAAACTTAATTGTCTGAAATTATAAGCCATAATTACAATCCTGATCATTACTTATCATCGCGAATTCTAAATAATGTATTTTAAGACATTTTATTAGAATTTCCATAAACATTACATAAAATAATAGCTTTATGTCATGCAGTCATGAGCCACACTTTTTCTAAAGGGGATATTTTTACTTGAAACTATTTCTTATTGTTTACAGACATGTAGTTTCTAAGTTGTCAGTACGCTGTTGGAAATTTTGATGCAGTTTGAACCATAATATCGCTCAAATTCACTGCAACCTTAATACGTTGGTTGCTCAGTTGAGCTATATTATCGTACTTATTCAACATGAGATCAAACTCGAAAGGAAACATGTTTGAATTTAACATTTTATTAAATTTTTTTCGTTTGAACCATATCGTTCACGGTACCGATATTATTGTTTCAGCATTGAACTGATTTTCTGAGAGTTTAGGTAACAGCACAATGCACGTAAATATTTTATTTTTAATTTACAAGAAAAATGTGGTGTTTTTCACCAGGAAATCCGTGGTGCTTTTTTAAAATGTGGCTCAATTAGCCCCAAGCTCTTTAATTGCAGCATACGGTATTATCTAAAAAATTATAACTTTCGAACTATCTAAAGATAAATATATATACTCTTTTAATAAATTAAAAAATTTAGCTAGAGTATTACTTGTTTGTATCCAGTAGTAATCATCTTTAAACAATGACGTGTCCATAGTCGGAATCAGCCATTCATTCGATGATGTGACCGTTTCACTTAAAGATCTATTTGCCGAGGCTTCAACTGAGAAGTTTCTTAATTGGTGATAGACAGAACTGGTTGCTAAAACTGATGTCATACTTTCATAACTATGGCCAGATACCATTTCAATTGTCCTAGTTGGAAATAACTCTTTACCAACCTTTGGTGTAGATTTAAAAGTTAAGGAGGTTGTGTCTATTTGGACTTTTGGTGTGTCTGTAAAATGCATTTTAAACGAAGTAGTTTGCGAACGGTACGTCTTTGTTTTAGGTAAATCCGACTCAATACTTATTGGATCTTTTGGTTTTGTCGATAATAAAGATAAATCGTTAGTGTGAGGTTTTACAGGTAACAGAATAGATGAAGTCAAACGGGCAGAATTAAATAAAGGTGTTCGTTTAGGAATATCTGAATCTATACTTTTCGGCTCTGGAATAACCGATGTTGGTTTGATTTGGATTGTTACGGATATTATTGGGTTTGTCGTCTTTTGTTTTGGGTGATCAGATTCAATACTTAAAGGATCTTTTGGTTTGCGAATACTTGAACTTGGAATTATTTGTTTTGGGTGATCAGATTCAATACTTAAAGGATCTTTTGGTTTATGAATGCTTGAGCTTGGAATTATCTGTTTTGGGTGATCAGATTCAATACTTAAAGGATCTTTTGGTTTGTGAATACTTGAACTTGGAATTATTTGTTTTGGGTGATCTGATTCAATACTTAAAGGATCTTTTGGTTTGTGAATACTTGAACTTGGAATTGCTTGTTTTGGATGATCAGATTCAATACTTGTAGGATCTTTTGGTTTGCGAATACCAGAACTTGGAATTACTTGTTTTGGATGATCAGATTCAATGCTTAAAGGATCTGTTAGTTTATTTGAAATGGTAATAGATGTTAATTTCGTTTCAAACATTACTCGCGAAGAATAAAGAGGTAAAGTTTCTGATACTGTATGGTGTTTTAAACTTTCAGCAGAATCTTTTATCGTTCTGGTAGATAAGTTCAAAGAGTCGGTTTCAAAGGAAGTTGAATTTTTTGAATTAAATGATGGCATAATTGATGTCCATGTTTCGTTGCTAAAAAATGTAGATTTTAAGAATTCGCTGTATGGCTTTGGTGACATAGATTCTGAATCAGACTCTTTGGTGTCTTCTAATGTTATGGAGCTTGCAACTATTTCCGAACTTACTTCTTGTATTTTTATACTCTCAGATAGAGTGGAGCTTGAAATATATTCAAAGTTTTTGTTGGATGTAGAACTAACAAATGACTCAACGGATTTAATAGTTACTGAGGGATCGAATATATTAGAACTGAAATGTGAAATCAAATTTCGGGGACTAGGTGTAAGTTCAGGAAATAATCTGCTAGTTACACTGAACGTTTCAATTGAATCATCTGTTACCTTTTCCGATTTTGTTTTACTTTCGAAAGAATTCCACTTAAATTCGGAAGGCAAAACAGTAACTGGAATCTCCCTTGTAATATTCTCATTTAAATAAGTTTGACTAATTGATTCTGATAGAGAATCTTTATACAAAGTAGGTTTTTGTGAAAAATACTGAGTTTGCATCATAACGTCACTTAAAGTTGTAGTTGCCACAATATTATGCAACGTGGAATTTGAGGGAATTACTTTCGAATAATCCAACGCTGCGTAATCAACCGACATCATACCATTCGATACACTTATTACCCTATTCTCATCAGACATTAAACCATCACTTGAGTAAAATTTTGGAAATTCGCTATAAATTTTTGTACTGTCATGATATTTTGAAAACGACATATCTGAAATTTTTGTCATAAATTCAATAGGATAACTAAATGTTGGTGTAATTTCTTTCCAATAAGTATGTGAGAAAGAATAAGATAGCAATGGAGCTCTGGATGAAAAAATACCTATATAATCATCAGACCCAACCATAGATTGAAAACTATGGGCGAAGTGGTCTGATTTTGAATCTTCTGATTGCATGCTTATAAATGATGCAGTGGTAAAACTTTTTGAGGAGTCATCTTCAATATTGAATGTGTCAAAAGCATTATCAACAGTCATGTAACTATTTTCAAAGTGATTCCTCATGCTCAGTGTTGGAGTAACCATTTGTACAGATTCCAAGTCATTATAAGTTTCAGTATTCTCTGTATGAATGTAGTTAGTACTTGTGTAATCATCTGATGAAATGTAAGAAAAATAACCGCTTTGGAGATAAATATCGGTAGTAGCCTCATGCATGGAGTTGACTTTTTGCGATTGCTTCAGCGAAACATCGCTTTTGACACCGCTAGACAATGTATGAGGAAAGGTTTTTTCAGTATGCATATTTTCATCTTTGAAAGATGGTGAAATTGTAACGGGAAAATCATATATTAAACTGGTTTCGAGTTGTGAATCATATTGTTCAGTTACTGACTGAAATACTTGATATGTTTTTGAAGAGTTTGAGGTCTTAAATGGTTGATATACGGTGTTAAAGGTATTATCGTGGTATGTTAGTGAAGGTGTTAATTCATATAAGCCAGTATTGTAATTTTGAGAAGAAAGGTTAACTGATTCCGTTATTTCATACTCGCTTGGAACCGGCGTTGAAATTTCCCAATCTAATGAGCTTTGATAGATTAGTTCAGATGATGAAACTCCCCAATCTAACGAGCTTGGGTAGATCAGTTTAGCTGATGAAATTCCCCAATCTAATGAGCTTTGATAGATTAGTTCAGCTGATGAAACTCCCCAATCTGATGAGCTTGGATAGATCAGTTTAGCTGATGGAACTCCCCAATCTAATGAGCTTTGATTTTTCAGCTCAAGAAAAGAAGAGCCAAATGAGGCTTCTGATCCTATAATTGATGATGTATCCAGCCTGCTTGAAGTAAACTGTGCATAGGGATCCTCGAAAGCCTCATAGCTGATAGAATCCTTCAAAGATCTAACAGTCACGTGATGTGTTACAGTCTCACGATTATTCTCTGTAGCATGAGGTTGCAAAGAACTATCAAAAGTAATAGGGAATTTCTGTTTACTTTCAGATTCATTCAAAGGAAGTGTAGTGTTTGAATCATCTACATTGGTTGTAAACAAAGCATCTAAACCATTCTCAAAGTTATCAGAAGGTTGAATTAATGCATCAGTATCGGTATTTTCATCAAAACCTAAAGAATTTGTTCTAAAAAGTGTTTTTGTTTCATACAAAGGAATCGTTAAAATGTCAGCTGTTGGAAAAGAAATGTTGAACTGGTTTTGAGATTTTTCTGAAGGTGAAACTTCGGACGATCTTAAAGATACCCTCTTAGTACTCGACAGAAAATTGTCTGACAATTCAGAAGATGCTATAGGATTGAAGTTTGTTTTGCTTTGTGATTGCGACAAAATATTTTCTCTGCTTGTTGAATCTGTTTCATCTATGGACATATAATTACCAAGCGTCACATGTTTATTATCAAATTCAGACTTTCCAATATCAGTTTGGCTTTGCATATCATTTAAACTAGCCCTAGATGGTAAGATTAAAAACGATGCATCATTAAAATCTTCGGTGATTATGCTTACAGGTACAAAGTATTCTATGCTGTTTATATGCGTTGTACGAATCAAAGATCCAGAAATTGTATAAGTTGGAATTACATGTGAAAATGATTTTTTATCAACAATTGTTACTGTTGTTTCCACGTTGCTCAAGAAATACGTTCTCGGTGTAAATATGTCGAAAAATCCGCTCGATTTTAGAGTTGGGAAAATAAAATTTATGCTCGTTGTTGTTTTGTTATATGATTCAGAATTTTCGATGGAACTTGAATTATAAACTGAATTAGTTTGTTCACAAGAAGTGAATGGTTTAAAAAATATTGAAGTCTTATTGGCTGATGGAGGTATATTATTGATGATGCCCGATGACTCTTGAAAAACATCGCTAGGAAATGACGACGATAAATCTGTTTGGAATAAAGTCGTTTCATCGAATGTAATGCTAGACTGTACATGTGATGATAAACTTGTCGTTAAAAATATTTCATGTGTCTGACTACTCAGATAAGAAACACTTGTTGAAACTGTATAAAAGTCACCTGAACTTAATAAATGGACGGTTGAAAGCAAATGATTTAATTTATCTGAACTGGATAAAATTGAAGGCAATGCAACATTCGATGACATTATGGACGGATTAGTAAAAAAACTCAGTTCATTTTCTCCAAATATGTGCGTAGCAGAAATGGCAGTAATGATAGCAAGTATTTCACTTGGTGAATCAGACAAGGCACGTCTACTACTCATTAAAAAAGGGGAATCAAATTGTTCCGCATCTGTCCAGGAGGCACTGAGGTAATAATCACTTTGAGCAATTGAAGAACTTTCAAGCGTTGGAGACGGAGCGATGTCAACCGAGCTATATTGTGGACTGGGTCTGAAGAAGTAGGTATTGAGCATGGACGATGGACCTTCAAATACAAATGAACTCCGGCTGATCACGTCATCACTGAAATTCTCTATAATATCGGATGATGTATCTATTTCACTTAGGAAAGGTACAGATGGACTTGGAGATATGTCTTCTGGTAATGGCGATCGTGTGAAGTAATTGTCTGTAGTAGATTCGGATTGTGGTTTTTCAAATGGTACGAGGTTGTTCCATTGGTCCATTCCTCCGTCTCCTGATGGTAGTCCCATTAGAAGTTCTTCTTCAAATTTGTCAAGCCATGGATGAAATAACTTTTTAGGAGAAGCTGTGTGTGTCATTTTGTTGGATGGCAATCTGGGAGTCATAAAATTTCTCCTGTTAACTGGAGTTCCTATAGAAAAACAAAGAATATAAGGAATTAAAAAAAAACGATAAAGTAAAACATGTGAGAAACAGTGTGTTCTGTAATGAACACTCTTAATGTATATTTTTAAAATCTGTTTTTAAAATGAAGTTAAAATCATACGCACGTTAAGTACCCAAATAAGTATGTAAGCAAAGAAAAAACAAAAAGTTATCGAAATCTGCCGATAGCAGAGTAAGATAACAAGCGTCAAAACCAGTTTTATTACCTAATTAAATTTTGGAGTGTTTCGAATAATCGCTTTTCAACTCTTTTCTCTCTCCTTCGACAAAAAAATAACTTTTTATTATTTATAGTCTAGACATAGTTTAGTCTTCAGTCCCCTTCTTATTTCCCTACATTTCAATCGCGTTTTTAATTAGTTTTTTCTTTGTTTGAATACTTATTATCGATCACTCATGCAAAATCTTTTCAAAACTTTTTTTTGACAAGGACTTAAAAAATATATATTAAGGTTTGCCATTACAGAACCCCCAATTCATGAGGTAGAACTTAGAACATTTTTAATAGAATTGCTTATTGTTTAGTTTGATTTGATTTTAACTGAGAATTGTTTCCCAGAATGTTGGAAATTCTATTTTATTTCATTTTATAACCATCGTTGAACAGCCAACCTTATTTTTTTGGTTTTACGACTACTAATGTTCAACTCCGTAGCCTTGTAATTTTGAACCCAATCCAGAAGACAAGAGAATTCCTGGATCAAGCATTGAGAGAAATTTGCCTTCGTGGAGGACTTTTTGATGGAACTAACGCACATTTGCGTTCCATGGAGAGGAGGACCACGAGAACCTCCCACGGTTAGCATGATGGCAAGGGGACTCTAACCCATGATTCGTCTACCACTGAGGATATTTCACGTCAGTACTGTGGTCGGCGCAAGCCGGATGAGGAATTTGTATCGACTGGGATTCGAACCCGGTTCGCCTCATTAGAAAGCGAACTCTCTACAACTTATCCAGATTTTAAAAAAGTTATAAGAAAGTAATTGGAAGGAAATGCATAAAATGTTTTATAGTAGAATTTCAGCAAAATCCACGTGAAACCAAATCTTATGAGATTAGCTTGCTTTGATTTCTTTCTTCAGCAAATAGTAGTTCAATTAACATAGAAGTCAAAATTCACATAAATTTTAATATCCACATTTAACTCGTGTTTAAAACTATACAGCGCAGTATTATAATTTAAAAGTTTTTTTCCAGGTCATTGCCCAATTAAGTATATAGCTACTGAGAGAAAAATGGGATTTTAAATAGCTGAGAATAAACATGTGGCTAGAAGTTGGTAAGAATATATGATAAGGGTAAAAGGATTCTAAATCATCTTTCATACGTCAAAAATTATTACGCCAAACAAGATCTTAATGTAACGAGAAGGACAAATCTGTGTGCAAAATAAAAATGTCGTTTCAGTGACTCAAACTTATCTGTTAATGATTATGTATCACGCAAATGCTAATTTGATTTAATTTTCAGAAAATCTAACGAATCTGACAGGATTATGTCCACACTATCTATCCGGAAGTCAGAGCCACCTAGTTCTTTTTTTCTTCCGAAAAACGTTTTATTAAATATTAATAGCGTTCAACGTTTGTATGAAAAATAAACTCAAGTTCACTTAATTCTAAAATAATCTTCCTAATGCAGTTCAACCCTTTGACGCAGAATTTTTATTAAATATATTTTTATACTTTTTTTATTATTTTGAATTCATTTTGATCAAAATAAGTGAAAAATATTATGTTTAGCATTTTAATAGTTTATGGTTATGAAATACCACATTAAACACCGGTGTCTTTTTCTGCGTTAAAGGTAAATTCTTCCAAACACAACTCACTTCTAAACAATAATTTTTCACTTTTGCAGTTATTTAGATCTAAGAGAAACAGTTATTCAATATTGAAATTTCTTTAATTTAAAAAATCAATTATTGATAAATTTTTAAATATGAAAAGAAATTTTTTTTTCTCTTCATATTTAAAAATTTATGTATATCCCAAAAACGACAAATTTTAAAATTGTAGCTTCATATGTCTGTCAATTTATTACAGCTTTAACAGCTAATAATTCTCGAACAAATTATCGGAATTTTATCCCACCGTATTCCCTGAATATTTCGCTATACATCTTAAAAAAGTGACGTTTCTAAGTATAAAAGTATTAGATATTTGTAATTAAATTTAATTTTTAATAATAAATGCTTGTATTGCGATATTACTTATTGTTTAACAATAAATATTTTTACTGTAATTAAACTTAAGTTTTAGCCATTTAATATTTGTAATTGAATTAAGTTTGAATAATAAATTTTTGTATTGTAAATAAAGTTAATTTTTAATGATAAATATTTATTGTGTGATTAAATTTATTTTAAATTTTTTAAATTTTTAACAATAAATAATTAAAGATTAAATTTTGTTGTTAAATTTTTAATAATAATTATTTATGAAATAACTAAATTTAATTGTTATGGATATACATTTGAACTGTTTTTTAATTCTCTTTTTGTTGTTGTTGTCATAGGACTTATTGGCAATTAATGTAATTGTAATTGGTCTGATTGTTCTTGTTTTTCCAGTGGCGCCCTCTATGGCCAAGAATTCGACTTCTACCACACTCATATGTCACACCTGTTTATAGGGTGGATCCATTCATTCATCCACAGATCCTAATTTTGACCTGAACCTCAGACTGATCAGTCTCCAATTCAGTACTCCAAGAGGTATAATTGAGTATGGGCACAAGGAGGACTTTGTGACCCGACATATTTAGCGTGCACCAATCATCATTTACTTCACGGAGAGTCTTCGACCGGCTGGATTCGAACTTCCGTTCTCACGAACAGGAGTCCAGCTCTCTGCTAGTCGAGCTATCTCGGCCAAATTTCTTTTTAGCTTTTAAATATTTAAAATTAATTAAATATTTAAATTAAAATTAATATTTAAAATTAAAATAATACTGGTAAGTTACCAAAAATATTACTAAATTATTTTAATCATCAAAAATCTCATTTGCACAAGGAATCGAATAAAGTCGTTCAAATTGCGTTGAGAAACATAAAGGGCACTAACAAAATTTCAACACAACTCTCATTTCATCAAGAAGTATAAAAAGACTTATAATTAATTATCGCCTATTGTATTTATTTTAATAAAATTTAGTATTTAAGTATTATTTAAACATTTGAAATCAAACCTAATTTTTAGATGTTAAATATTTATAACTGAATTTCAATTTAATTTTTTTTAAATATTTGTTAAGTTTTATTTTTATTTGAAACTAAATTAACTTTTTAAATTTCGAAACACTTGTAGTTTAATTTCTCTTATCTTAATATGTGAGTTATTAAACTCTTGTCAAATAATTCACAGTTCAGAGGAAATTTTTATTTGTGTTGCTAGAAAACTAAGAATAGTTTGATAAGATTCTTTGAGTTTCTTTGTCGATACAATACTTTTCCCTATTTTAACGAACTTGCCAAGGTGACAAATTTTCCTTAAACATCGTAGGGTGTTAACATTTGAGTTGAAGTGAAAAATGTCGCATTTCTTTGTACTTAATTTTTCAAAAGCTATATTCAACCCATTTTTTTAAATTTTTGATTCTGCCATCAAAAGTTCCACTAACGATCAAATTTTCAAGTTCTAGAGCTCAATCTGAATGGTTTAAAAAGTAGACCTAAAATATTCAAATTAATTACGCAATTGTACAACTTTTTACATCATTTTAAAGAATGAAATTTTACATAACAAAATACAAAATTTGAGCGAAATTGGCAAATTTTTCCTGAGAAATCAAAATTTATGTATACGACCTTTTTAAAATTCGATTTCTCAGGAACTATTCGGCCGATTACGCTAAAAAAAATTTATTTTGCCTTATAAAATCATAGCCATTAAAATGATATAAATAATTACAAACATTGCCATTCAAAAAATTCTCAATTATTATTAAATAAAGCAATAAAAATAATAAATATTTACTGTATGTTATTTTTTGCAATAAAATGTTTTTGAGTGAACGAATTTTATAATTGTGTGCAAAAAGTTTTCAAAAGTTCTCGAGATATAGTGAAATACGAAAAAATAAAATTAACATTAGGTGGTCCAAGTTTTAGATCGCTCTCCTGACCAAACTATTGGGCCATTATTTCCTAGATTGCAGCTACCCCTTACGTTTTGGGTTCAAAAAATCCAAATCCATCAAAAGAATGTCATGTTTATTCAGAGAAAGTACGTGTTTGAATTCGTAACTTAAAAAATTGCCTAAGCTAATTAATTTGAATATTTAGAGTCACCCTTACGAACTAGTAAAATTGATTCCTGGAATGTGAAGATCCGATCACTAGATCAAAAATTATTCAGGATGCTCTCCATTGTTTATTTTACGCACTGTACATTACAATACAAAATATAATTGATCTACAAAATATAATTGATCTAATTGACCATTACATAAGTGACATATAATTGATCTGAAAATATAATTGATAATAATCGTAAACAAAATAACTAAATAATTCACGTTTAATTTAATTTTTAGATTTTCAATATTTGATATTAAATGTAATTTTTGGTTTTTTTAATATTTGACATTAAATTTAATTTTTGTTTTTAAATATTTGTAATTAAATTTAGTTCTTATTTTTTTAATATTTGTAATTTCTAATATTTGCAATTGAACATTTACTTAACGCAATTTTCAATCCATAAAATCTTTGAGATACAAAACTTATTCTCGTAAGCAAATATCTTACTTCAACCAGGAACAGAATAAAGTGACACAAATTGTGTCACGAAACAAATAGGACAAAGTTGTAACATCTCATCAAGAAATTTAAAAGAAAAAACTAATAATTAATCGCGCCCTCATTCATTTTCATTATTCTATATCAAAAATTTTGATTGCCCCTCTTCAACTAGGACAGTGCTGTCACACAATTCGAAAGACGTGCTCATAGAATCCATT